CAGAATACAATTCGCACTGAAATAAACATCTCATCTTCTACTAAGTTCGAGGAACAAAGTTTACAAAATCTCTTCTGGTTGCCTTCCGACATATTTTCAAGTTTCAATTCTAATATATTTTCAATATATTAATATACCCATTCTAAACTGACATAAAATCGAATGTTATTTATTACATATATATTTACACATAAATTAATGTTTAACGTATTTCTGAAGCTAAATTGTTAATTTAATTCTAATAATATATATTCAAATAATGGTACATTGTTGTATAATTGGAATTGCAAAACGTAAGACTACAGACATATTAACAAAGCAGAGTGAATAAAGAATTCATTTTAATTTTTTCCCTTCACTATCCCATGACCAAGTAATCACTAGGGCGGAGTTATAGTATTTATCGCGCCTGATATGTTTTGGTTTGGACAAACCTATTTTGGAGGCGTGGTTCTAAGTACAATTATCCAATGAAATGATACGCTGGGTGGAGCTAATGACCGCCCCGGATTTCAAATCAAATTAAAAGCATTTAAAGAAACAATAAAAAGATTTTTTTTCAAAATGAACTCTGACTGTACATTTATAATTCTTTATATTACATATCATCTTAAAACTTAAAAACAAAAATTAATGTTATATATGTCGAGTATCAAATGAGACATTATTGCAATTATTTACTTCCAGTTAAATAATTATGTTTTTGTTCTGCTTTAATCATTTACCACATTTTCTGTTAACTTTAACTTTGAATTTTACCTATATCTTTTTCACAATTTACTTTTGCTGTGTTTTCTCTCAAATTAAATAAGTTAGTAAAAGTAAATCGTAAAAGAAAATGCCTAAGTTTTCACAGTTCGATGCTATCGTTCTATCGTTCGATGCTATCGTTCGTTCGCTCGTTCGTTCATTCGTTCGTTCATTCATTCATATATTTCGGTGCTTGAGGTGATAATCATGCTCTAACATGCTTTAAAATCATTTAGACATTGTAAAACTGTACATAAACTTTCTTTTTCTAAAGACGAAAATTTTATCCGTTTCTAAATGTGCATTTTCTATCTAAAATATGAACTTAATCTGAAACTTTTATTTACGCTCTAGAGAAACCCTTTAAAAACTAAAGCTAAAATAAATAAAAAATAAATTAAAATAAATTCTCAGCTGTAACATTCACAATACAACAATCAGAAGTTAACATTATAAACCTTTTAAACGCATCTAATGTATAATACTATGATTGCTGCATAGTAATTTACATTTTTAAAAAAGGATTCAAGACTTCATATTCGTTATGAGAAAGATTGTACAGCAAATAATGATGAAAAGTTCATTATTAACCAAAAATATATGAACAATATACTTTTGTTGTGTATTTCTTTTCATTTCTTAATTTATTAACTTTTTTCTCTCTCAAGCTTTTTAAGTGCTCTTCAGCAGGCAAGCAGCTTTAAATGTCAAAACATAAATAAGATCTCTTTTTTACAGTCAAAAAATCCCAACGATAAATCCCTATTTACACACGTATAAACATATATGAAGATTATGTTTTCCTTATTTTTGGCCGACTTTTTCACATGTGCACGTGCGGTGCTATTTAACTATTATATTTCAATAATTAAATTTATTAATTATTTAAGATTTACCGGGGCCAGAATTGCATTGAAGTCGCTATTCAATGCATTCTGACTCACAATAATCTTACATAAAACATGCGCATGAAAAAGACCATCTACCGTGCATAAACGGTTAAATTGATGGAATAAGTCACGTACTATGCTATCATTATTTTTAATTAATGTTTTTGATGGGTTTCCTTAACAACTTCAATCGAATCATGATAAAAACTGAAATACATGAGGTTATCAGGAAGTCTTCACCTTTTGTAAAAAAAAGAAAGAAAAAAAAAACATCTATATAAAAAAAAAAAATTCACGAAAATATTAGTATAAAAAAACTCTTAAAAAATAGAATGAACGTGTTGAGTGTTTTTTTTAATAATTCAGAAAATCGGGTACCACTAAAATACGCAATGGAGATTTTTGGCGCAACGGATATATGAAAAAAAAACTGGCACGCCAGTCATTTGGTTATATTTGAGTATATAAAATTATTGTTAAGCACAAGTTAGTAAATTTGTTTTAAAATGTGTCATAATTTGTATATGTGTAATTGCATTTGAGGTAATATGTCTGGCGAAATGGCACAACGCAGAGATAACTTTAGCAAAAACGTAATTGATTAAAATTAAAGTTATTTGAATAAATAAATAAAGAAAGAAATAAAAATATCAGTATATAATATAAATTGTATATGATATAGCTAATTTTGATGTTGTAAAGGATTGTGTGCCGTCAAAATGGACTTATGTACAGAAGAGTATACTGACCCCCCTTATATATTTTTTTATGCCTTCAGAAAAAAGAAACTTTGTATAATACATATCTGTAAAAAATTGACAAGTTATATGATATTAAAAATAGATCTTCAGAGTTTTATCTGTTATTATACACCATAAATCACAAATATGCATGTTTCTTCGATGATATTTGGAAATTTAAGAGAACAGAATGTTCTTCTTAACATACAGTAGTTGTACACTTTAGCCTTTATCATATGAATCTCATGAAAAAAGATGTATGAATTTATAAGTTAAAGTAGATTCTATTGGTATAATCAGTTGCATCTATTATTATAATAGTAAATGGCCCTTTTCTCGCTTTGATATAAAAATACATGTATAATCATTGAAAAAGGGATGATAGAAATATTTATAGTATAAGTTATTAAAAGTTTCAATACCATTTATATAATAATAATATATATCAGTTAAAAATTATAATATTTTTTATATCATACTGGCAAGGTACTCGTGTACCGCAAGCGTGTTATCATAACGATCAACTTATTTTATGAAACATATCAAACATCATCTAAGCTAAAAACTAAGGTAAAGAATATATATATTATAATTATATGATTATATCATCTATATATCTGTCATACAAATAATACCTCGAAAACATACTGTTTTCAAATTGATCATTTTTGAAAGACTATTAATTATTATTATCAATTTGTATTACTAATTTCACGATTATAAGTTATTATAAGATCTACCCGTTATGCAAATCTTTATTTTCCGTTGCGCCGAAGTTAAGTCCAATTCGCCGTGCATTTAGAATATTCTACCGTGTGACCAATACCAAATTTTTATATCATTTTTAATAACTATTTTTTAGAGATAAAAAAAACAGTAGTTTTGACCGATGAATTTTTGCAACGATACATTGAATACTTATAATGAAAAAAAGATGTTTTATGTTGATTCTGCTGTTTCAAAGTATGACTTTATTTAGAAAATATACTAACGCAAATTCAAACAAGCAATTATCATAGTATTGCAAGCAATCCATAAGTCCCCTACCGGTTAGAACCCCAGCAACATTCTGATTTCAATTTTACCAGTGAATGAATGACATGAATGAACTTAAATCTTTTGAGTTCTAAGTTTGTCTATTTCATAGTAATGTGTAATTTAGTTTCCCTTCCTAGTAAGGAAATATTGTTTGTACAACCTTGTCATATTATTACGATGTGGGATTTTAAAGTAAATCCTATAAGGAATGAAGAAGTTGGAGTAAAAAATACCAATTTCTCGAAAAAAATCTAAGTTCAAGAAGGACATAATTCTGGAATAGTCTTGCTAGAGTATTTAACCTTCTCAAAAATGTTGAGTGATAATGAGAAACATATATATTTGTAGTAGATACATTAGGAAATAAAGAAGTTATTTAAAAATGACAACATTTTTTTCATAAAAATTCTAAGTTCAAGGGAGGTAATACTGATAATTTTTGTGCTAGAGTTGTAAACCTTGTCACATAAGATGTGGTTGATGACCAGAAACTTATGATGCAGTAAATGGTAGTCTCTATCGACAAAACTTTTCCAACAAATTTCATATTGAGTTACTGTATGTTTAAAATTCATATTCGGTATATTCGTTCACGAATATGAATTACATATCTCTATAAGGAGCGATAACTTGCAATTAACCTAGCAAATATAAATTGTCATCCATGTTTAATCAAGGATTCTTTCTTTCAGACTTTTATTAGTGACCGAATAATTAACAATAGGGGTAAAAAAAATAAAAGAAAAAAAAAACAACAACCTCGTATTCACATATACATGTATATACATGTTTATATACTGTACGTCGTTCTGGCCGTGGTGACTAAATAAAGTTGAATAAAGCAAATATTAACATAACATATATAATTTTAACTTTTAACTTTCTTTTCTATACTTTTAGAAGATTATAAACAATAGGCCTAATGTTCATCTTCATTATTCTTGTTAATATTCGGATAGGCCTACCGTTCTGGTCACAATATTTATTACAAATTAAAGTCAGATTTATCTAGTTTTTTCATTCAAAGACATGATACAAGTAAATGATATTCTCTATTCTCTGTGGACGAAAAATATCCAAAAACAGCTGTTTTTTTATGAAAATAAAATTCATATTCGGTACTCCCGTTCATATTCGCGAACATGAATTCATATTCGCGAATATGAGTTCATATTCGGTATTTAGTCATACCGATTTTTAAGACATATTTTGTCATTCTTATGACTTATTTGTCATTTTTAAGACTCATTTGTCATTTTCAAGATTTATTTGTCATTCTTAAGACTCATTTGTCATTCCGTAGACTTATCTGTCATTCTTAAAACTTATTTGTCATTCCTTAGACGTATTTTCATTCTGAAGACTTACCTATCATTCTTAAGACTTATCTGTCATTCCTAAGATTTATTTTTCATTCCTTAAAGTTTAAACTTATTTGTTGAAAATACAAGTATTGAAAGTCGGTAATGACTAACATTATCAGACTGAGCATTATTTTACAATGAGCAATACATTTGGGACAGCAGTGTCAAATGGTGTCACAAACTAAAAATCAAAACTGACACAATAGGAATGAAGTTACCTGCTAGAATTTGTGTAAACCAAAGCGCTGCAAAAGCTTCATATCCTGAGATTTCTAAGTCATTTAAAGGATAGAACCAAATCATTGGGGCTAATCCCTGGAACAAACACCAGAATACGTAACCTGAAACATCAAGTTACAACAGTAAGCTCAATATCTAAAGTCATGGTAAGCAATTAGTCCAAAACTACACCTATAGATACACTATAAAATAAAATTTGCATAGTTCCATGTCAGACTGATGCTGTTGAAGTAACAATCAACTAACCCTGTACGCTTAAAATGCATAACAAACTATTATCTCACATTTTATTTAAAAACAGCATTATAGGTACGAAAACATAAAGGGCGAAAGACTGTAAACAAAAAATATTCCACAAATTTATATTAGAAATCTGGTGTGTCAAAAAGAAAAGTACAAACACATTGCATCTTACCGTTTATTCCTTCTCTTATAGTGTGTCTCATACTGATACAATCAGGACTTGAAACAACCTTGCTTTGCTTTTCCGGCTTCGACGTTTGTTTCGTACCCATTTCTCTGTATTTCGATTAAAGGGAGATAATAATCATTTTTCGTCCTATATATTTTCGTACTTACGTCTCTCTAAAGATCCCTGGCTCGTGTAATTCTAATTATCGGATACAATAAGAATTTCACCACAACATGTTTGTTAACAAAAGAGCACATGCCCTTTTTGTGGTTAAATCTGTTGTTATTCATATTCATATTAAAATTAAAGTAGGGATCTAGATCAAGTTATGTCAATCACAGTTTCATCAGTTGCCTTCCACTTATAAGAAAATTCTCTCTCCAGAATTTATATAGATCTATTTACCAGATCTACTTAATCTTATCTTTATTTCTTTCTGGTCCATTTTAATCTGTACTTTCCATTACATCTAATGACCATGAATATACTATAAAACCAATTAAAAATAATAATATATTTTTTAATTGACGAATATATAATGTCAAGCAATTTACAATCTCCTTCCAATAAATACGCATTTCCAAAGACATAAAAATACCTCATTAACTGACATTTCAAACAGCAGTTGAAGACTTACAATATTGCTTATGCTATAATTATACATATATATATGCCTAATTTTTCCCGCCAAAATACATTAGATATTTAAGGGTAGTTAATTCATTATTTTGATCAATTACTTTGTTACAGTAATGCACAATTTATAACATATTGAACACTGAATTGATGATGACCACGATACCATGGATATTGAAAACTAGAATGCGCAAGGTGGTTGTAAGCCCGCCCCACATGCCCGTAGGAAAAGGAAGCGGGTTTAGCGGGGGAAATTAGTTAGGTTTTAACCTTTCGTATTTCCTCCGCTGCTTGATCATGGTTTCGTTTTGGCGTCAAAATGACAGGGATTGCACCTTAGCCTCGGTGAAATTGACCCCGTTAGCTCATCAGTCATTACATGTAACTTTTTTAAGACTATGGAAAACAGTACAATGATGTCCATTTTCATCTTCAATGACCTTGGTCTCTGTGACATCAAATCTCACCCAAGACCCCTGCAATGAGCCACACTAGTACCAAACATCAATTCTATGATATTGGTTGACTAGGAACTTGTAGTTCCCAACAAAATTGCTAAAGAATTCTACATGGGAGGCGGAGAATGGTGTAAACAATCTGTGAGGAGCAGAGCGCTCCACTGTTTTTTTCTCAGTGCTGATTAGCATGATTAGTAAACTGTATTTTTTACAGAGATGTTCCGATATTATCGATCAATCGTGTTTATTGCTTTCATAAGAAATATCGTGTCATATATCAATTTATTTTTCTATTGTCTTTTTAACTGTTTGAACAGTACTGTTCTTTCAGAGACTTGTACTTGCATGCTTTTTATTACATTATGGGGGCGTCCGTGCATGGTCGAGTGGCTAAGGATGTTGACTTCAAACTACTTGCCCCTCACCGCTGTGAGTTCGAATCCCGACTGTAGTATCATCATACTGCATGTACAGTATTGTGATACAAAATAGAAATTGTAATGATATCAAATCTTAACAGATTTAAACATTGAATTTGATATTTTGTCCCGGCAATGTGGTTGGAATGCAAGTAGAACTCACCAAACTGCATGTCAACACATCAAGTTTCAATTTAAATTAAACACCCAGAAAGAAACTTCCCAAAAATAGCAACGTTGTGATAATAACCTTTTGACCCAAAAGTATGGCGGGTATAACTCATCTATGTGATATCATGATAGGAAATTTCTTCTTTACTTTGATTGGAAGACTTACAGGTTTTGATTACCTGGCGCGCATGTCAAATTTTCTGCATATCATTCTATTGTAAATACCCGCGTTTTGTGTGCCAACTAGCACGTTACTTTCAAATAGACCAAGGAAAACTCATCTAAGTAAGACCAAGTTACTTTGATTGAAACACATACGAGTATAGGCGTAAGTCAAATCTCGGCATAAATATACTAGCTATTTTAAAAATCCGGCGTTTTGTTTGCCAAATACACAGACATACATACACTATAAAACTCCATGCCAAATAGAACTTTGTCGATATCTGGCTATAGGTTGGCATCATTATAGGAAGTTTGAAAGGGTGCCATCAGCAGGGAAGATGATTGCTTCAATTTTTTGGGATAGTCAGGGGATAATCATGATTCACTATCTTGAGCAAGGTCGTACCATAAACGGTACGCACAATGCAGACGAATTGAGGCGTCTGCGTCAAAAAATCGCGCGTAAAAGGAGGGGAAAACTGACTCTAGGCGTCCTGCTTCTGCACGACAATGCGCCAGCTCACACATCCCAAGATGCGATGGCTGCTGCAACTGACTGCGACCCCATCCCCCATATTCTACGGACTTGGCCCCCTCTGACTTCTACCTCTTTCCGAAACTGAAAACCAAGCGTCGCGGTAGACGTTTTGGTAGCAATGAAGGTGTCATGGAGGCGGTCAATGAGTTCTTTGATGACCAAAATAGTTCTATTTTGAAGGATTAAACAAGTTGGAGCACAGGTGGGCCAAGTGCATTGTTGTAGTGGGCGATTATATTGAAAGTAAGATCATTAGTTGGGTTCTCTAACTATATACCGGAAGTACATCGGGCCAAGAACGTTTAGATCAATTCTCGTAGTATTTCAGAGCTGATTAAAATACAATTTCCTATATTGTATTTATGTCTATGGCAGGTTGAGGCCAACATTTTACCCTGGGGTTGTGACTTGTATAACTCATGTGGAGAACGAGGTACGCCAAATATATGTATGTTATGCTCTTGTCACAGACGTGTCTGAGATTTTCCGAGTTTCTACTCCAGGGGCATACTGTATACAAATTTTGTTAAAGGAACGCCGCTGTTTTCAAAAATCCTAATAACATCAAATTTGAAATTCTTTCATAGTATAAGCTGGCCGGGACTCTAAAGCAAAATGGAATATACAAAAGATGAAATATACAATGTATTCAGAAATGAAATTAAAATCGTTTATCACACACCCGTGCCGATTTTACGACTCCGTAAATATGGTATTGCACGGCCGTGCATATATTTTGACGTGACGTTATTAGCATTATTTATTACATGCTTTACGGTGGTTTATAGAAATATATCAGTGATATAAAACTGGTAATTTCACTGTTTGAAACAATGAACTTACCACTTTGATAATTTCACTGTTTTGAATTTAAGCTCCTTACGTTGTTTCAGTGAAATACCAGCGTGCACAGTACTGGGTACCAACTTAATGACGTGACGTCGTAAATGACACTGCGCCACTCGTGAAATATACCTTTTGGTGCTCACTCGGTGAAATATATTCCGATCTTACACTGAACTAAACAATATCCTCTATACAAACACAGTGTAAAGACGCGCTCATTAATAGCGTTAAACTATAGGCGCGTCAAAGAAAAATGACTCTTATTTCACTTTAAACGGTCTTTATTTTGGGTATGTGATAAACAGTGTGGCAATACCACGTGACATTGACGTCACTTTTGGCATCATTTCCAAGACAAATATTGCTCGATTCGGAAAAGAAAATAGCCGTAAATATTTTATTTCTGTATCAATATCTTTGGGATATGCACCAGTCTACGGGGAAAAATATAAGCTTTCCACAGAATATTAGATCTTGTCAGTTTATAAGCCGTTTTATCAAACACTTTGCATAACCTTGGAAGTTGCTTGTATTAGAGCGGGCTTCGGTTGCAAGCTATTTCGTTTTCTGGCGTTATTTGGTCTACGCCATGATAAATAGGTCAGGTTTACATCAACCGGGGGTACAGACAGCAAAATCCTACCTTAATATGTTTATATGTTTATTATTTATGGCGTAAATCTTGCCATTTTCTTCAATTGTCAATTCTGGCACCAGTTCCAAGTCGAAAAAAGGGACTACAGTTTAAAGCAGATTTTAGAATCTGTTGCAAATGCAAAGCAACATGACTACCGTTCTCTTTCTACAATTTCCTGTTTCATTGTTGATCTTTCACAAAGAGATTGTGAAAAAAAACTGATTGTTCCTTAAAGCAATAACACTTACTTGTATCGCAATAGTGCACCGAAAAATAATAGTTTGGTTTCGTTTTGAAGATGTTTAAAGTATTGCTCATCTTATCCTATGTAGTAAAATGTGATTTATTCTATTTCACAATGGCGAAATTGATAAGAAATAAATGTGCTCTCAGTGAGAGAAAGAGTTAAAATAAAACAATACTACGGAAAGGGTTACACTATAACGCGAGTGTTGTAAAATGGCTTAAGGTAATTTTTTCAGTCTATTTTTTGTAAAGAGTAACTAACAAACACTGACACTCGTGAATGTGACGAATAGGTTCTTCTGTCCTCAAATTAAAGAGAGACTTTGAAAAGGTATATATTTTTCTGGAATTGCCGTATAATAAATTTCTATAAAGTTTGATAAGCAAAATCACAATTTAAAATTAAAATCCTGAATCTAATTGTCAAGCGCATTAACATGACGTTTACATTTTATGCTTATTTTACTATAAGCATATTCATCATCAGTCAGATTTTGTTCTTTGTGTAGAACAATTTTAAATAGCATTACATATAACTTGGAACTTTGCGTGTAAACCTGATAGTATTGTTACTTAGTTGCGTTACTTATGATTCTCTATTTATCAAAAAGGCCCAAAATAGCCATGAGTCGCCAATAAAAAAACGAGAATGGACGCCATGTGGTGTAAACAAAGTAGAAAATAGTAAACAGATAAATGATTTTACAAACCAACAGCCATCGATCACAGTCAAATTTCTTGAAACAAAACATTCTAAAAGTCGGAAATAACAATGATTATCAATAATTATATAAATATTTACATTAACATATATGTAATAGCAACACGACTGAGGTCCATATATGACACTGATGCGTCCATTGAATTATTGATAGCTAACATAAGCTACGTAAAATTACGATTACATTTGAAGAGTATATTCAATTTTTATTCTTCAACTGTCAAATTACTTATTTCTTTATTCACATATCAGATAATTCATTTATTTGGCATATGCATTATGTTTATCATGTTTTAGATTTTAATATGTGGTCCTTCTTTAAATCTTTAAATGCAACAAAAATCCTGTTAAGGACATCTGCAGGTCATGCCGCGTGCAATAATCCATGCATTTACATCCAATGACCACATCGGTAAGAAATAGTCCCAAATAGCCCTATCGTTTTTATTCAGTTGGAAGAGACATTATTGTTAAAAATTCTACTCGATTTAAATGTTTTCAAACCATAAATTTATATTCCGTTCCCTTCCTCTCTTTACAATGTGTATTGGTGAGCTCTCTGATAAAGCTCGATTGACTGATATAATTAACTAAATTTGTCAGATATGTAGTTTATCAACAGAAATAAATGCAATAATAAAATAAATAGTGTTTAGTGTTCTTAAGTGAACGAAGTTATATCCACTTCACGAAAAACGGTTAGATCTACCGTGGGTATGAAAACAGGATGTGAAATATTTTTTATCAACGAGTGCCACTGTATTAAAAAGCTGAATCTATTATACTTAAACATTGCTACAGGTTTATAACATTATGGTTATACGTATAAATAACTCTTTACAAAAGAATACCCTTTGACTTTGAAATTGCAGCGTTGAGGCATAACGCTTTACAGCATAAAATGGAAGTGATCCTGAATGTGCACGTTCATTGGACATTCTAGCTAAGTCAATTTTGCCGTTTTGGGTTTCTGTTTTCTCTCTATTTTGAATACGTTTAGTATTGCTACATGACACATATAGATTTTTCATAATCATTACCGTGAAAGGACAATGATTAAAGAGCAAATCAATTTCTTTACAAATACACATGTGCAGACAACAATTTACGACTTTTAAAAGCACTTATAGCGCAGCAAGTAAAAATCATTTAAATATTCATTTGTGTTTATGTAAATCGTACAGTAAATAACAAATGTTTGTATGGTTAACATAATTATATAGAGAGAGAACGGTAGGCATGTTGCTTCGCATTTGCAACAGATTCATAAATCTGCTTTAAACTGAATCCTTTTTTTCGACTTGGAAACTGGTGCCAGAATTGACAATTGAAGAAAATTGGCAAGATTTACGCCATAAATAATAAACATATAAACATATTAAGGTAGGATTTTTGCTGTCTGTAACCCCCGGTTGATGTAAAACCTGACCTATTTTATCATGGCGTAGACCAAATAACGCCAGAAAACGAAATAGCTTGCAACCGAAGCCCGCTCTAATACAAGCAACTTCCAAGGTTATGCAAAAGTGTTTTGATAAAACGGCTTATAAACTGACGAAGATCCAATATTCTGTGGGAAGCTTTTATTTTTCCCCGTAGACTGGTGCATATCCCAAAGATATTGATACAGAAATAAAATATTTACGGATATTTTCTTTTCCGAATCGAGCAATATTTGTCTTGGAAATGATGCCAAAAATGACATCAATGTCACGTGGTATTGCCACACTGATAAATAGAATATTAAATTCGTGTAAGTTCATTACTGAATTTATTTCACTCGTTGAATAAAATAATATTATGCTCGCAAGAGGCTCGCATAATATAATTTTATTCAACTCGTGCAATAAAATCAGTATTGAACTTACACTCATTCAATATCCTCTATTTCTTTAAAGCAATTCCTTGTCCAGTTTGAATGAAAGAGTTGCAACCCTTTTTAATTTTGCATCATTTTTTTACAATTAGAATAATTATTCAATGCACACCAGCTATTGGTCTAGACAAATATCGGTCAAATGGAACATTAATATCGAAAAAAAAAATATTTCCAGTTCCGTCATGTCAAGGAAAAGTTTAAGTTGGGCATCCATGACCGAGTGATTAAGGTCGTTGACTTGAAACCACTTGCCCCTCACCGCTGTCGGTTCAAAATCATGCGAGGAAGCTATCCACCTAGCTTACGAATTCGGTGTCTCTACTCAAGTGCCTGAAATAATGCACGGAGGGGCATCCGAGATCTTTCTCCATCAGTAACGCTGGGAAGTTGGCATATGACTTCTTCTGTGTTGGTGCGTCGAAGAAAAACCCAACCAACCAACTAGACAATGATACATGCCAAATATCTACGTTTAAATACAATTGGTTTTACACAAGATTCATTCAAAAGTTCATCCATTACTAGCTGTTCATATAACAAGTTTCTTTACAGCTGCATGCCTCCAGATGAGCACACATATTTCAGGAAAATCAAACTTAAATAATGCACTAAGGTTTTAAGAATTGTTAATTAAATGAAATACAATTTTAATGATTTTGCTTCATCAAAATATTTTTTACTGCATAAAAACGCATTAAGGGCTATTGTATTTTTTACCTCATTATTGGTAATTTACATGGATCGAATGTGCTGTTTGCAATGTACAAGTTTCTTTATTCACTGTTCAATATTTTACTTTTTAAAAATGCATTACATTATGATGACAATTAGCATGAAGCTAGCGGCATGCTGCTTTAAGTTTACTGTAAGGATAATTTAATGATCAAGGTGTTTAACACATATAACATATTGTACTGACAGCTGAACTTTGTGGACTTGATACCGAGATCTCAACCGTTTGAAATTTAATATCAGTGAAAGTCAATTACCCTAATCACGGGGGAGGAAGTGTTACACGAGGGATGGAGTTCTTATGATAACTTGTCAAGGAGTTCTTGTGATAACTGTCACGGAGTTCGTCTGAAAACTATTGTATATACTGCTAAAACACTCGTCAAAATGGTAATTTTCATCTGTAAAAAGTGAGTTTTGTGCTAAATTAAACTTTAAACATTAAGCCTGTCTTACACATTGTATTATGTGTCAAAAACGAATTCATAGTCCATTTTTCATCGCCTCTTGCTTAAAATCTGGAAGTTTTGAGTAGAATTTCCAAATTATTTGCCAATTCGCAAGTATTGACCTGTTTATTTCAAGTTTGCATCATTGCCATACATAATTACCTAATGATAATACAAAATTGAAAACATAAAGCCCCGGCTAACAAATTTATACGCGATTTTTCAAATGTTCCGGAGTTCTTGTGATAACTCAAAATATGTCCGGGAGTTCTTATTTTTTTTTAAGTCTAGACAAGCCTATGAGTCATCATAAGTACTATCAACAGCCTAATGGGTAAATTTTCCATAATTGATACACCATTAAAATTCTGAGGGATTTTGTTTAAGAATTTATGCATTAAAGTGATGAATTAGATTATTGTGTTCCAATGTCAAATATAAGGATTGTAAGCTGACATACTCATGTTGTTACTTTTTCACTCTTCTGTCAAGCATTTTATATTTATGCTTTGTATATATGTATATGCAATTAACACAATATTATTGTTTAATGTGGGCTTAACTTTATCGTCATTAAACATTTGGCTCTAGTAAGGATTCATTGAAATCCTAGCAGACGTAATTATGCCATCCATTAATCCATTTTAAATTAACAGGTCATATCATACTCCCATTTTAAAGAATGAGTTGTTTACTGTCAAAATGTGTACCCAACAAGGCTGAATATTGATATAATACAAACACCTATATTTTTTAATAAAACATTTAATGAAATGAAACACTTACTATACACAATGCATAAATCAGTTTTCAAATCTCACTTGTTCTAGAAGTATGTCCACATTTCACACTTGCCAGCAAGTGACAATTTTTCGTATTTTTTTTCCTTTCTTATTCTTAAGTAGGATTTTGTTTGGAGAAAAAAATGTTGCTAATAAAATAGTCACAATGGCAATGTGAGAAAACTGAAAAACATGAAATTTACAATCTTGCTTCATTTCAAAGTTTAAAATTTTGCGTGGTCATGTAAACAGATGTTATTTGCTCCTTGTTCAATATTTTTAAGCACTTGAAAAATGTTAATGCTTTTGGTCTACAATTCACATACAACATGTAACAGTTATCATAAATGAGTTAAACATGATTAAAGCATTTATTTACAATGAAGAAATGACACTGGTATGAATGATAAATGATGAGATGATTAAAAATGTTAGGGTGATCATGACAATGAGATGTTACAAAATCAATAATGTTACCGGAATTCTAGTTTAAAATTCTTTTTCCTGAATCCAACCTTTCTGTTAATATAAATCATAATTCATCATTGCTAAAACATTAGTCGTCAAGAACATGTGTTATCTCACTTTAAAATTAACTAAAATCCCAAACATGATATTATTAATCCTAGATTCCACAGTGAACTGATAACTTTCAAGTAAATATATAAAGAATGGCACCCATTTTTGATGAAGATAGTACTGGTGCAACTGCCTCAGATTTTTTAAAGTCTGTCCAAAAAGTTAATGAGATCTAGGTATCATTGTAACCGCACACCTCCTGTCTGTTGTTGAAATACGTCTATTGAATCACCATCTTCCATATCCAACTATAAATATCAAAACAAACATTCTCAATATATATCAATGTCACTGACCTAACTGGTAAAATTTCACTTGTGTGCAGAAAATTTCTGTTTAGACCATTAAAATTGAAGACTAGTACATAATTTAGAACTTTTTTTGTATACTTGAATGTTATAAAAATTGCATTGGAAGGAAACTGATATATGTGTATATAATTTTGTTTATCTGTATATTACATCGTTAATTATGGCATTAAACATACAGGATCTTTAATATACATACCCCGTGAGGTGTATCTGTTTCATTTATTGGGTTACCATCAAATCTAAATCGGACTACTCCAAGTTTAAGACCCTGAAATAAAACAGAAAAACTTGCAATTCAAACAGGTCTTCACATAAGCTTGCTATACAACATGTTTCATAGAGATATTTCATTCCAAGTCTAGTTATTGACTGGAAACCAATTTTCTACTTAAGTAACAGTGACCATGACCGTAGCAGATCAATTGAAAAACAATCCCAAGGGAGTTCCTCACATAAGCTTGCTATACCCAAAGCTTCATTGAAATAACTCCTTATCAAACTCTAGTCAATGACCGAAAACCAATTTTCTACTTTTATTAACAATGACCTTGCTCAAAGTGGCCCATAAGCAATCCCTAGCGAGGTATTCACATAAAGTTTCATTGACCATGAGCATAGGGGACCCTAAAAGGTCTTCACATACGCTTGCTTTATCCAAAGTTTCACTGAAATATCTCAAATAAATTTGAAACTTGTTTAGACTAGAAACCTATTTACCATTATTAGACCTTATTTGCCCAAAAGCAATTCAAAATGATATCTGCACATAAGCTTAAATGATTACACATAAGCCTTTGCCACCAGTGAACAATGACCAGGCTCTATTCTAGCGGTAGCTCATTTTTTTTTAAATAAATATTTTAATCTTTAATCCATTAACTTAAAATTTCAAAGGGCAAATTCAGATGGTTAATCAATATATCTATATTTTTTTTATATAAACTTTATAAACAGTAAAACAGTTATCTTGTTTTCATTATCCTTTAGTAGATTCTTGAAAGAGGTGTAAGAAAGAAAGAGAATGAATAGCACATCAACAGAATAAAATGTCTCAGAACAGAATATTATTCTGCTATTTACAATAGGATTTTTACTTTGAAAGCACCATTTGCTCTTCTTTCATTAGGATAATTTGGAATTATTCCTAATTAAAATTTCAAACAATAATTTTGTAAACTTCAGGCATCAAATATTATTATTATTGTTATTATTATAGCTTTGTATAAGGGTTAAACAATAAATATAATTAAATGTCTTGTTTGTTTTCAATAAATCTTACCGCTCTGTCACAGTATGCAGACATGAGTTTGCGCAGGGGTGTATTTCTTTTAATTTTGAAATGTACAACACTACCATCTTGTCCAGTGACCTTGAGATTTATATGTTCAGTCTCATTTTTGACATCATCCTGAAATATGAGATATAGCATAGCTAGTTACATTGTTTAAATGTCTCAGAAAAAAATAAATTTTCATTTCTATAGAAAGGACAAACGTGAATTATGAAACATTTAAATAATGGTTTTAGAGTAAGTTAGATGCATATAACCTGAGTAAAGATTAAAAGTAGGGATAAATCTGAATTAATTTGTATATAAGTAGCATAATGTAAACAAAGAAGTATTTTGACTTCCATACAAAATCACTATAACTGTACTAATTGCCAAAATGCCTCAGGCCTTCGGCCATTTAGTAACATCTTTGGAAACTATAAAAGTTAACCAAAGATAAAAAGCATTTGAGCATAATGATATTAATGACCCTTTAAAGTTTAATCATAATTAATGTACAGATTACAGAATAAGAAAACTTAAATATCATTTTCTCTAGTTTATAGCTACATCAGCGTTGTTTGTGCCGTGTGGAGGCTGTAAAAAGTCGCCATACATTCAATCGGAGATGTTAAATTTCCGATCCTTCCAAGATCATTGTTGTGTTTGTGTTATTTTTAGTTTTAACTATTCTGCATTTTCTGGTTAGGTTATCCTACTCAAATAATGTTGAATCACCCTTAGGATATGTTGCCTGCTTTTTAACTTTAGTCTTTTCTGTGATATGCAGGCTTCATAATCTCTGATCCCCTTTCAAAATAATTTATTTAGAAAATTCTTGAAAATTTTCTCTTCTCCTTACAGGCTGTGGGAAATCCATCTAACTTTCATTGATGTCAAACCCCTCGCACGGATGTAAACATGACTAGAGTAATTTAAACTTCAGAGACAGCTATGAGATACAAGGGAATCTGGGAACCTGTCCCTAGCTCTTATTGAATAAACTCCAACGGGGCTTTTTTCCCCTTCTATAACACTAACAGGGGCCGATATAAGGCCCCTTCACAATTAAAATTGCTTTTTTTCCACAAAGCGGCAGAAAAAAAATATCACAATTTCAAAAGAGATTTCACGAAATACTTGGATTTTGTCTTCGAAATACATTGTTTACCTTCCGGTAAAACTTGATTTAACATATTTGAATTATTTATTAATGCATGTAGAGCTAGTTACTATTGTGAATTTAAAGTATTTCAATGACTATGTCAAAATTGGACGACAGAGAAGATAAGTATCGTTCAATTTCGACACTCCTGTACAATTGTTATGGGCAGGGTTCCCACTCTTAGATATTTTGAAAATTTAAGGACTTTTCCAGGACTTATCAAGGACCTTTATCGATTTTTTAAGGACTTTTTAGAAGATAAAATTTCAAGCTATTTGATTTTTTTTGTCCTTTGAATATGTTCATGGTAATGTTTAGCAACACCAATATAATACATATAGTTCATGACATAAATCTAACTCTATCTAAGAAATACATTCAGTGTCTATAAATAATGAAATGTACTTTGTGACAGAAACTGTTTTTGCAGGTTGTGTTCAAAAATGTATATTTGGGTATGTTTGATTACATCATAGTGAAATTGTATATTGTATTCATGATTAAAACACAATTTTATTAGTACAACACATTATTTTTAGTATATATTGGCTATACTTAGGTATTTCGTGCTACCCGTGTGGCCAATTGGCTGTGCTCTGCCTTTACAATAGTTCATGTATGTAATCAGGGCTTCCACTAAGTTTCCAAAATTTGGAGTCAGACACTGCAAAATCTCTGATATTGGAAGTCACATTTATATTAGGTAAAGAAGGAAAAGTAGAACTTAAAGAAGTCACAAACCCAAAATCAGGGAGTAAATGACTCCAAAACTTCCATTAATGGACGCCCTGTATGTCATACTATTGTTAATTTTATATTGATATACCTTTTGGCTTTTAGCATGGTTGTGAGCAATTAGGATAAAAAACATTGCCCAAGGAAACAACCATACTGTGAGCTTTCATCTTTTTCACGTGCTTTTGAGCACAGGCCAATCAAGCAAACTTGAGGTCGATTTGTGACTGTCTTATAAGATTTTCCAAACAAAACCGCAATAGTAACCAGAAAATAAATGTTAAATCTCATAAATGTCAAAATTGGCCTCTTAAAACACTTGTAAATCGAAAAATCATCAACATTCAAGATGCGGAAATCAATATACTGTGCTAAGACCGCCATTTTGGTTGTTTGATTTACCTCCCCTTTTCCAGACTAATTCCCGTACCTTCCCGGACTTTTTTCTGTATCAACACTAATTCCCGGACTTTTCAAGGCCGGGAGCTAGTGTTTTCAAATTCACGGACATTTCCCGTTTTCCCGGACAGCGTGGGAACCCTGTATGGGTCTTATAATTGAGAATAAACTGGAAGTTAAATGTTCATAACATTAATATTTAAGGTTTATTTGCATCAAAACCAATACAAAAATATGAAATGATGATAAAGTTATCAACCCTGTAAATGCGGTTTTTTGGATAATATTAAGAGCAATGACATCCACAGAACAGAAATTTCTAGAAAAGGAAGAATCCTTTAAAGAGCAAGTGAAGACGTCACATATAGGTCTGACATCGTAAAGTTGACTTAAATCAAGTTGATAATGGTGCTTTATTGTTAATACCACAGGCACTAGACACAATTTACCTCTATACGCTCATAATACAATATATTCTTTATATATAGTATTAGGAAAAGAGTCAACTTGGCCCTATACCAACTCGGCACGGGTCAACTCGGCCCACTTTACAAAAATATATATAATAACGTATTTTAATTAACTTTGCTTGGCATGTTGTTAAGGTAAATGAATAATAAGACATATTTTATTATTACACATTGTACTTCTGCCGAAATAAAGTTAGAAAAAAAAAGGTTATTTATTTGTCTTGCAGATTCGATATAATTAATATAGATCTAGTAAAAATGTGTTTCCTTAGATGTATTTTGTTCGTAAAGTAATATTAAAATAAATATGAAACAAAAACGTGTTTACTTAATATCATAAGCTTCTAATCAATTGCATGTGGTCACTAATCAAATTTGAATGAACGAGTCAATCATAATTATCACCTAATTAATCGGTATCCTTAACTTACACACTGATTGATAATAATAGCCCGTGACAATAGGAGTCCTTTAATGTCTGTTTTCAATTATCATTTATTTCAATATATATCACTTTTATACAGATCTTATTTTTGTAAAATTTTCAACATTATACAGACATTACCATTTCCATACAAATCTTATTCATGTACAGATGCTTAAGTTTTTTTAACACAATAATTAATGTATGAACTAATGTTTTTTTAAAAAAAAAAAAAAACAACCTAAAAAAAAACAACCTAAATGCGTTATAGAACAAAGATACGGGGAGTGGATTATAAATAAAATATTGTTTAAACTAGAACAAAGATGCAGCATGTAAATATCACTTATAGCTCTGTTAACGTGTATTTTTTTAATAGCGGACCAACAAAACGTCAGTTTTTTGGAGATGCACAAATTGATTATAAATAATTACAATAATTACAGTAAATACAAACCTAAATATTAATAATTGAAAAGTGGGCCGAGTTGACCCGTGCCGAGTTGGAATAGGGCCGAGCTGACTCGGGGGCCCCCCGAGTACGTTTTAGGGCCGAGCTGACCTGGATTCATAGTATAGAGGTAAATTAATTGTGTCTAGTGCCTGTGGTTAATACAATAGGAAAACGGAAGGTGTCGAAATTACACCTGTGTAGACATTACCCGCAGTTGCTCTACCTGGATTTCTTACCATTATGCCTCTGGGTAAAATCTGGGCAAAACTGACATCGAATTGATTTGGCAACCCTCAATGATTTAGGACTAGGGCCTGCAACAGCATTACCTTTCACCCCCACCCTGCAGAATAGCTGGAAAAAATGTCTTTATTTACGAACTCTTTATAAAGGACAGAGTTTAAAGTGGTAAAATTACAATTCCTACAAACATTTTTTTTTTACTCCACCTGTTTATTATTTTGATTGAAAAGTACACCAGAAATTATCTGCTAGCATGTAGAATCTACAAATTCTAGTTTTTAGCAAATATAACGTCTTTATTAAGTTAATTAACAGTAGATTTCTAAATCTATAAAAAAAAGTTTAAGAAACCAAAAAAAAAAAAAATCTGAAAATGACAGAAGAGCCGGCAAACCTTTGAGCCATCAATAAAATTTGCGTTCCCCTTTAAAAATCAACATTGCTGATGAAATAAGAAAACGCCAACTACTTTTTTAAAATCAATGCACTTTTACCTTTTTCTGTTGCTGTTCTTCAGACATATTTAAGTTGTTATTAAAGTATTAAAAGCAATAAACATGCGGCGTTTTCCCACTCGTAAAATGGCGCACAAAGGAAAGAGCACTGCGTTTGCTCGAAAATGTAACGCAAGTTTTGATTGGTTCATAGCAATATTTGACCTTTATTGAACTTTTTACAAAAAACCCAGCATTTATTATTTTTGTTGAACAACAATAGTAAATAAACTTAATTCGACATTGCATATTGAAAATAATTATGTCCGGTAATACGAAATGATAATTATAATAAACTAAAATGAAAATAAATGTTTAGTGGCAGGTGCTCTATAAGGTTACCCTCTATAATTTGGCGCCAAATTCAAATGACCTGACCGGTCGGAGAGGTATGCTTGGAACAATTCAAAATGCTTTCAAATGTGGGCATCATTGATTGCTGGGTTTATGGGCCCGGAACGTGGTTTGCCAAATTTCCAGATTTTAAGTTTTAACAAGATCTAGATCTAGATTTTTTTAATGCTCTTGCTATCTAGCCAGAATCGCGGCTTTTAAAGGCCTTTAAAAATAACAAGTTTTGAAAGTTCGGAGATTTATTTGAAAATCTTATTTCTGTTAGCTTCTAGATCTACGATGTTGATTTATTTAAATCTAGAGCTAGATCGATTATTTATTACTATAATCAATCATGGATCCTAATATAACAATTCAATTAATCAGCGCTTTCATTACACCGGCCGGTTACTTCCCAAATTAGCACTTTGAGTGGTATTTCCCCAAAATGAGTTTAAACATAGTTTTATGCAAAAAATGAATAGCTCTACCACATGTTATGTAATTTATGGCGGCACCATTTCATTTTTTTACCGAAAGGAAGTCCGCACCGTAGCTAGGCGTCTACACCGTTGTCGAACGTACGAAACAGAAGTCGAGTAGACAGATTTCGGCACAAATTGACAGATAAAATGTTGAAATTGCATAGATGATTTTATTCATGTGCTGTAATATACAAGCGCATTCACCTCTTGTACGGAGATGGACTCAAAAATTTACCACTTCAGTCAGTGGCGTAGCTACTATTAGGCCATGTATAGGCCTGGGCCTACAAGTTGCTCAAGAAATTGACATTTTCAAAAGTCCTAAAAACACAATAAAAACAGGCGGGGTGAGGGTGGTAGCTAGGTTCAAGCCGTATATGGTCTATTCAAGTGTGTTTCAGGCTTATGCATGATTTACCGTCCGCAGTAAAGTTTACATCTAATCAAATTCATAGTTCAAAATTATTGTTTTGATAATTTTCCTTGAAAATCCTTTGGAGCGCGCGTTTTGCTCTTTTAAAACTGAACTTGTTTTTGGCATCTGGGGGCTAACCCCAAGACCCCCTTTTAACGGCCTACAAGTTGAAAAAAGCTGGCTACGCCCCTGTCAGTCTTGATTCGAATTTTAGGTAGAAAAAATCTAGATCTAGATCTAAAGTTTTTAAACATGCAAGTCCATGATGTCTTACACACAGTGAATTTATTTTTACGTTTGGAATTCAACGTAGGCCTACTTTTCATCTTTCACTATAATGCATATTCTGGTACATGAAACGTTGCGTATCTGTTCCGTGTATTCTGCCTCCGAGAAGATGCGATTGTGGCGTCCCATTTATAGGCCTACACTAAACAAAAGCTCTAAGTAACAGTGATTTTTTCCCAATTTTCAAAACAACCTGTGGCTTTCTGAAGGGGAAAATATAGCGCGATAAATCAGAAAAGGGGGAAATCAAATTCCAAGAACTGAAAGTGGAATTTACCCACACATTTTATAAAATTTTTAATTTCAATTCAATTTATCATGCATGGTACAGGGATTCTAGCTGATATAATAAGTCAGATGCTGTTATATAATGGTTCTGGTGAAGTGCACAGGGCATTACAGGGGAAAATATTAGCTTTTTTAGGGGAAAATATACCTATTTTTAGCTAGGGGAAACAGCCTTTATTCGGCTGTAAAATACAGGGGAAAAAATCACTGAGTAACATTACACCCATAGATCTATCATGATTTTCTGAAAATGTCATAATTATGATCAATCACAATCATGGTTATTTAATGATGTAGACCACTTATCAACCCCTTTGATTCGTACAGTAAGTGAATTGTGTGTGTTGCAACGAGCATATCATGATCGCACACGTGACTGGCGATGGCACTAATTAAGTAACACAAATATGTACATATATCTTCACAGCGTAATTATAATTAAAAATGCACTTCATATTAAAATTATGTCAGATTATGAAGGTAAAGGCGTAAAATCTTGTTGGATTAAATAAATGCGTTTTCACGAGAAATACTTCTGACAACCTGTTTCATTTCATAACAATTTTATAACGTGAGTAATTTAGCTTCACTTGTTAGGGGCGTAACTGAGCTATTTTGATATGTACTTCTTAAGTAGGGGGGGGGGAGGGGGTGTAATATGAGACTGTTTATATAAATGTATACATGCGCATGCTTAGAAAGTAGTCCAACAGTTCTTGTTAAGAGATTATCTTCAGTATTAAACTTGTAGTCATAGAACACACTTGTGTATCTTATTTCTCATTTGAGTTATACGTTTGTCTACTTGTGATATACTCACATACAAAACCACATAACATTACATGGTGTCAGAAATATTGCTGAATTTTTTAAACATTGGATTAATTATAATAATATAGTTTAACGTGACTTAAACTAAACAACAACAACAATGGATCTTAGTGGCATTCCACCACCAGTAATGAACTGGCAGAGCTCAAATTTAATTGAACAGTGGCAAAAATTTAAATTGAACGTGGAACTTATATTTTCTGGACCACTTAAATCTAAATCAGAGGAAGAAAAAGTTTCATACTTATTGCTATGGATTGGTGACGAAGGCAGAGAAGTGTACCGAACATGGGACCTTAGTGCAGAAGACGCCAAGAAGCTAAACACATATTATGTAAAGTATAAAGATCATGTGCAACCAAAACTTAATCCGATATTTGCAAGATATCAGTTTATGAACGAGATTCAAGGAAGTGACTCAATTGACGCTTTCGTGACGAGGCTAAGAAACAAAGCCACAGATTGTCAATTCACAGACAAAAATGAAAACATCCGAGACAGAATTGTATTTGGATGTAATAGTTCCAAAGTACGTGAAAAACTAATAAATGAAGGCGAAAAATTAACATTAGACAAGGCAATACAAATTGCACAAAATTACGAATATTGCCAAAAACAGATGGCAACCATGGGGGCAGCCGCGCAACAACCAATTGACGCTGTTAAGACGCAAAGGCATAATAGAAGAAAACAATCAGCAAATGGACCCACTAAGACGGGAAGGATGCAAGGACATGGATCACAAAATGTTTGTGGACGTTGTGGCACGCGACATGACCAGAGAACAAACTGTCCGGCAAAAGGGGCTACATGCTATAAGTGTAACAAACTGAATCACTTTTCAAAGCAGTGCAAATCACAGAAAAACGCTATAAGTGTCAATCAAATAGGGGACAATAGTGACATTGAAGAAAACTTGTGCAATGCAGTTGATGGATACTCAATTAATACGGTGAGTACTAGCTTACATTCTCCAGACTGTGTTAGAACCGAAATTTGTCTTGGCCCAAACAAATGCCCAATATCATTTAAAATTGACACTGGCAGTGCTGCAAACATTCTGCCCAAGCAAAAATTTCAAAAACTGAATTTGAGTACCCCACTTGAGGCCCCTGATTGCAAATTAACCTCATATACAGGTGAAGCACTTTCAATCTTGGGAACAGTCATGTTGACTTGTTATTTAGGAAATCAGTCAATGATTGCAAAGTTTTATGTGGTAGATAGAAATGCATCCCCTCTCTTAGGCTTGCAAACTTCATCAAACCTTGGCCTGATTAAGCTCACATTTTCTGTGGAACACTCCCTCCCTGACAAGAGTAAAACATTTCTGACCAGAGAAATAGCCATGAAAGAATACAGTGACCTGTTTTCTGGTATTGGAACTATTGATGGTCAGTGCAGTTTGCATTTAAAGAAAATATGCAGTACCAACTATTAACCCACCACGTACAATACCCGACGCCTTAAGAGCACGTGTAAAATCAGAGCTTGACAGAATGATTAAAGACAAAATAATCACAAAAGTCAATGAGCCTACTGATTGGGTTAATTCCCTTGTCGTTGTAGAAAAGCCCAAAACTGGGGCATTACGAATATGCCTTGACCCTAAAGCATTAAATGAGGCAATTCGTAGACCGCATTTTCCCATGCCTACTTTAGAAGATATTACATCAAAACTAAACGGCGCATCAATTTTCAGTATTCTTGATATAACGCATGCATATTGGAGCTTACAGCTTGACAAACGTTCGTCAATGCTAACTACGTTTAACACGCCGTTCGGAAGGTATAGATGGCTTAGACTTCCGTTTGGTATATCGGCTTCCGGTGACTTATTTATGCAGAAAATAAGCGAAATTCTCGAAGGACTATCGGGCGTAACTGCAATAGTCGACGATATTCTTGTATACGGTCGCACGCAGGAAGAACACGATAAAAATCTAAAGCACGTGCTTGAGCGCGCACGAGAAAAGGGTGTCAAATTAAACCCAGATAAATGCAAAATTGGTGTACAAGAAGTACCATTTTTCGGTCATGTAATAAGCAAGGATGGTCTTAAACCAGACCAGTCCAAGGTCAAAGCTATAAGCGAAATAGGTCTTCCAAATACGAGGCCAAAGTTAGAAACATTTTTAGGTATGATTAATTACCTTGCAAAATTTGCGCCAAATCTCGCGGATGCGACAGCTCCCCTCAGGAGCCTCTTGAAAAAAGATGTCGAATTCTGCTGGGAAGAGCAACATGATAGAGCATTTCAAAAGGTTAAACACATGATATCTGAAGCACCTGTGTTAGGTTATTATGACCCGAAAGCACCACTCACATTAGAGTCTGACAGCTCGAAGGACGCAATAGGCACGTGTCTCATACAAAATGGCAGACCGATTGCATATGCGTCGAAAAGTTTAACCGAAACTGAAAAGGGTTATGCTCAAATAGAGAAAGAGTTATTAGCCATATTGTATGGTTGTACTCGTTTTCATCAGTACACATACGGCAGACATGTGACTGTACACTCAGATCACAAACCAATCGCTGTTATAATCAAAAAACCATTGTCAGCCGCACCACCTAGACTGCAGAGAATGTTATTACAATTGCAAAAGTACAACATTAAAGTTATCTATGTTCCAGGCATACACATCCCGGTCAGTGATTGCTTATCTCGACAATGTATATCAGATTCGCAGTCAGAAGTAGTTCAAGGACTTGACACACATGTGCACACTGTATGTAAACAACTCCACTTCACTGATCAAAGATTGCAAAATATCTCAGAAATAACAAGCAGTGATAAACAAATGGTCATTTTAAAACAAACAATCATTGAAGGTTTCCCAGAGGAAAGATCAATGTGCCCATCAGATATACTTGAGTTCTGGAACCATAGGGATGAACTAAGTTATGAAAATGGTCTTATATTTCGAGGTCAAAGAATTGTTATCCCAAAATCACTCCGCTCTGAAATTATAGGTCAAATACACACTGGGCATTTTGGTGTAAACAAAACGGTTGAGTGTGGGAAAGAAAATTTCTTTTGGCCCGGCATGATTAAACAAATCACAGAATTTGTTTTACAGTGTAGTACTTGTCTCTCGCATCGTAATTCAAATGCAAATGAACCGCTTATATATAAATAAGTCATGAGTTTCCTGATAGACTGTGGCAGAAAATTGGCACAGACATTTTTACTCATGATGGTAAGAATTACTTGATAACAATTGACTATTATAGTCGATTCTTTGAAATTGACTATTTGCCAGATACTCGATCAAATACCGTAATACAAAAACTTCGCGCACATATGTCTCGATATGGAATTGTAGATATTTGCATGAGTGATAACGGACCGCAATTTTCGTCAACAGAATTTGCCGAGTTCGCAAAATCATGGGGATTTACTCACATTACGTCATCACCTTATCAAAGTAGGTCAAATGGAATGGCTGAAAAGGGTGTGTCGATTGCTAAGAAAACCTTAACTAAGGCAAAAGAATCTAGGCAAGACCCATATGTATGTATTTTAGAATACAGAAACACACCTTTAGAATGTGGTTACACCCCAAATCAGTTGTTAATGGGACGAAGGACAAAGTCTGTAGTTCCAATTTCTGAAAAAAGGCTTTAGCCCCAAACAGTTAGTCCATCAGTGGTTAAATAAAAAATGCAGAAAATCAAGTCACAACAAAAATATTATTTTGATAAAAACTCAAAAAGTCTAAGTCCACTTCAAGCAAATGACTCAGTTCGTATTCTATTTGGTAAAAAATGGGTACCAGGAAAGGTTACTTCAAAGAATGGAGAAAGGTCATACAATGTAAAGACACAAAATGGCACAATTTACTGCCGCAATAGGAAATTCCTAATCAAAACCCAAGAAAATCAAATAACCGATTTTCTCCCTAATGCACTTGATTCATCGTGCACACAAAAGATCAAATTACCTGATAAAAGTTTCCCACAAAATAGTGACCCTTCTATTAACTCTCAACCACTGGCGAACACATGTGGTAATTATGTAACACGGTCTGGTAGAATTGTAAAGCCTAGTACTCGTTATCAGAATGATACTTATCAGAAGTGAACTGACTGATGATTATACATCTGATAAACGATCGTTGTGTAAATAAATAGATTAGTTCGTAATGATTGCTTTTAATTATACTTATATATTAAATAGCTAAAATAATTTCTAAAACAGATTCAATAATAATGTTTAAACTTTTAAAACATATTTTTTAATATTGAATGTCTGTTTGTTATGATATACAATCAAATGCTTTTATTAAAAGAAGAGAGATGTAATATGAGACTGTTTATATAAATGTATACATGCGCATGCTTAGAAAGTAGTCCAACAGTTCTTGTTAAGAGATTATCTTCAGTATTAAACTTGTAGTCATAGAACACACTTGTGTATCTTATTTCTCATTTGAGTTATACGTTTGTCTACTTGTGATATACTCACATACAAAACCACATAACATTACAGGGGGCATGCTCCCCGAGAAAATTTTTGAAAAAGGAAGCGATATCTTGGCATTTCGTGACTATCTAGAGGCTATATTGACAACATATTGGTGATGTTTTCAAGCTCTTTTTATTAATTTTAAAATATGTAAAATGAACAAGTACGTTATATATCTACCATAAAACTTTTTTTATATTTATATTTGATACTTTTGCAGCACATATTTGTTATTTTGCGTCCTTCAAACTGATGTTCAGCAACAAATCTCCCGAATTCCGTAAATTATTTTAAATTAAAACTTTGGTATGCAAAGTTTACTACCCTATCTTTAATTATAAATATTTATGAGACTTAGACCAGACATACGCTCTGTCTCCAACGTACGTACGTACGTTTTAGTGCAGTTGTTGCCGAGAACTGGCAAGACCACTAAAAGGGTCAAACAGTGCTTCACGTTTGGGTACAGAGCCTTGCATTCTTGCTTGCATGCGTCCGTTGGACGGCAAGTGTCAAGTTTACGTTAGTCCACCACATACGCCACAGCTAACACTGATATTCTCGGACAAAGATGGGTTTATTCACAGTGATTTTTTTTCCAATTTTCAAAACTGAAAATGGAATTTACCAACACATTTTATGGGAAAAAATTAATATCAAATCAATTTAACATGCATGGTACATAGCAGAGGCTTTATAAAGGGAAAGATTTCTGTCTTCTAGATGATATAAGTCAGATGCTGTTAAGTTATGGTTCTGGTAAGGAAGAGCACGAGGCATTTTAAGGGAAAATATAAGTATTTTGGGCTAGGGGAAACAGCCTTTATTCGGCTGTAAAATACAATGAAAAAATCACTGATTCACATTTAAGCTTGCGTTTAAAATGCGAGATACAATGCCCCAACTCTCGGAAAGACCGCCATTTTGCACCTTCATAAATAGCAACTGTTGTAACAATTTTAATATATTAATTACGACTGACAATAGTGCGAACATTGTGAATGTGAATGTTTTGGCCTGTTAAATATTTCATTACATTATAATATATAAAAAAAATACCGCGTTAAATTACATGCAAAGATATTTTAAAATCTCCTTTCAGAAACCTTAGTAAATTAATTAAAAATCTTTGCATATAACATAGATTATGTGGAGTTACATTTAGAACTCACGCGTGAGAATTAAGTCTCTTTTTTTACGACATTTTACCTTTTTACGCATATACGTTAATCTATTCGACGTGATTTTTTTACTCAATTCAATTCAATTCAAATTTTATTGCATTTTTCGACAAAACTTTGCCTTTGGCAATACATACAAAACATACATAAATCACTTGAAATATGACATACATTCAATACATTCAATACAAATATACAATGTTCACATAAAATGTAGAAACATATCAAATTTACAATTCTTGCATTGTTTCTAAAACACTAGATCTTAATGCGAATGCTTTATCTAAAAATTTACATAGTTGCAATATTCTACTTTTATTTCCTGATGACATAATAGAATAGAACTTATTTAAAGTTGGAAAAGATACATGTTTTATAAAAGATTTTCTCAGTTCTGAATATAAGGGACAACATAATAAGAAGTGGTATTCTGATTCAACATATTTATACGGGCATAATTTACACAATCTGTTATTTCTATCAGTTCTCATATATCTACCTGTTTCTATTTCTAAGGAATGAGAACATAATCTAAAACATGATACTAGTAATTGTTTACGTAAATTGTCATTTTTTACAAAATTAAGATATTCCTCTATATTTCTTATAGTAGTCAAGCTTTGGCATATTATCTATACAGTCATGTCACTGTTGTAAAAATTGATCTCTTATTCTCTGCTTAAATATCATATTATAATTGACATTAACTGCATAGTTATAAATAATGTACGGGAAGCCCATATCAGTAATAACAGAGTGAACGCGTTTAGCCCAGCTTTTATCATTCCCATTAATACATTGGTCTAAATAAATATGGTATATAGGCGCCTGCTGACGCTTAACGATTTTATTCCAAAATTGTAAAGCTCTTTCCGTACATAGAACAGACAAAGGAAATTTACCTAGTTCCCCATAGATAGCACAATTTGGGGTCTGTCTTTTGACACCTAAAACATATTTATAAAATCTTATCTGTAGTTTATCAATATCTTTCAGCTTATATATACCCCAAACCTCTGACCCGTATAACAAGATTAGAGCTACCATCCTTTCAAATAAGTATAATTTTGTTTTAACATCGAATTTAACTCTATCAAAGAGTGCGAGAAGATTGTGGTAAGCTCTTAGTCCTTGATCTGATAGTGCTTTCACAGCTTCAACAAAACTACCTGTGTAAGAAAATTTCACTCCTAAATATGTAAAACTATCTACTTTTTCAACCAATTGACCATTTATAAATATATTAAAATTATGGACTGACTTACGTTTTTCAAATACACATATTTTAGTTTTATTAACATTTATCTTCAAACCCCATTTACATGAATATTCAAAAACATTATCAACTTGTGCCTGCAAGCTTGCAGGGTCAGTTGTAAACAACACAATATCATCCGCAAAAAGTAACAAATATTTAGATAAAAGGTTTAGGTCGTTGTTAGACAGTTTGTTAAGATCTATACACTGATCAATATCATTAAGGAATAAAATAAACAGCAAGGGAGATAATGGCTTGCCTTGTTTTAAGCCTAGAGTTACCTAAAAAAAAACAGAAAAAAATGATTTAGAATCAATTTTGACACAAGATGATACAGAAGAGTAAATGGATTTTAACATAGTAACCATTTTACAGCTAACGCCATTTTCAATCAATTTAATCCACAATGCATCTCTTATTACAGTATCAAACGTTTTTTCATAATCTATGAAAATACAATATAGTTTTGATGTGTTGTCAAGTATCTTCTGGATAAGGGAATGTAGAATAAAAATAGCGTCAGCTGTAGATCTAGAATCTCTAAAAATCGTAAATCGTTAAAAATTTGTTCTAATTCACACCATTTATTTAACCTATTACGTAGTACTAAGGAAATATTTTTGCCATACAATTTACTAACGTGATGCCACGGTAATTTGAAGGATTTTCGGGATCACCTTTCTTATAAATAGGTACAATTACCCCTTTACACCATGCTTCTGGGTAAATGCCAGTCTCAAAGATTTTATTGAAAATAGTACACAAATATGGGCTTATAAATATATTAGCATCAATGAAAAAGTCAGCAACAATATTTAAATAATCAGCACTCTTATTTCTATTCAACGAAGATATATAATTTCTTTCGTTTGAGGAACGAATTAATTAGAAGGAAATTATTTTCCCTTAAGGTAACGTAGTCATCGTCAGGATATTTAGTAAAGCGTGACATGAGTGCACGATATTTTCGTGCAGTATTTCAGTCTAAGTTCATTCAGCTTTGGGTAACCGACCGGTTTACATCGTTTAATTTTTTATTTCTTTTTCAAAAATAGAAAGTAGATAATTATGAATAAAATATGTTTCATTCATAGGTAGAGTGTGAACAGATATGCATTTGTAAATTTGTAAAATGGCGTCAAAGTGTTTTCTTTAATGTAGTACTTAAACATTATTGTGTGATATAAAATATGAATTATTGTATGAATTGTATGTACCATCGGTTACCCAAGTGCTTCGGTTACAAATTACAATTTGAATTTGAAAGTAAGACTGAGTTGTGTTTTTATTTGTCTGATGTGACGTAGTAGATTGAGGGACACTTCCTCCACACTGATCGGACAATCTAACTGTTCAATATATAACGGTGCATCACGTGACTGAATAAAATCGTCTGCAGCTGCAAATTAGAGATATTTGAAAAAATGGTTAACAAAACTATCTGAATCTAAGTTGTTTCTATCAGACGGGCTACGTTTGAATTTATTTATGTATTTCCAAAACTTACGCGGTGAGGTTTTTGACATTTGTGACATATTAATTTTTTCTTTAGAGTAAAATATCGCTTTTGCTCGTCTCTTAACCGTTATATATTCCCGTCTACTTGACAAGAATAACAACTTATTATCATTACACTTATTTGCATAAAAGGCTCTTTTTTATTATGAAAATCTGCTTTAGCATTTCTGCAATTCACATTAAACCAGGCAGCTTTTTTTAACCTTTTTACATGGCTTTTGACAAAATGTTTTCCCAAAGCACTTAAAAGAGATTTCAAAAATTTCGTCGGACAAAGAATTTACACAATTATCAACATCAGTTTCGCCCGACACAAGTTTTTGTGACAAATTGTCAAATATATGCCTTTTTGTCTCCAGGAGATTTAAAAAAATATTCTGTTTCATCGCTGTTCCATATAATTACTGATAAAGATAGATCTAATCATAAAAAGCCGTGGGTATGGATCAGATTAATTATAGCGTATTAACAATAAGAAAGACAAAAACTGATCTTGTCAGATCACTCAAAACTAAAATCTATATGCAAATTAGTTAGACATATTTAACAGTAAAACGAGATTTTATGACTCTTAATTATTTTTTTTTTATATTTTTTTACGTTTTTGCGCTGAGCATGGAATAAATAATATGTTGATGCTTAAACTAAGAGACTTGGAAAAAAAGTTGAAAAAAAAACCCATATTTTATATATTTTCCAGTGACTGATTAAAAACAAGTACAGTAATGAGTAAAGGGAAATTAAAAAAAAAAGATTTGTATATTGAGAGGGGTTTAGTTGTCATAAACAGTAAAACAAAAGGACATACATTAAATTATGAATATCTGAAGTACAATGAATATGTTATGAATTGTATTAAATAAATCATGGAAAATCTCTGATTTTAATGAATCATGAACAAACAAAGATGAGAAATTTATAAATTACAGTCAGAAAGTTATTTTTTTACAAAAGTTGCCAGGTACGAGTATACTATCTATTGTAATAGTATAGAATATCTAAAGGAACTCCACTGAGGTCCAAAAACCTAAAACACACAATTTATTTTCTAAAAAAATATCATATCTGTAGAAGAATATGTAAAATTTGATACCTATACATTCAGAATTAAATTGAAAACTGTGATTTTGTCGACTCTTAGCCCGTGTAAAAAGTCTCTGATCCGAATATAGAACATTTTATATTTTTTTGTTGTTTTTTCGCGATAAAAAACGACATGAGAAAATGATTTGAGATTTTGAACAAAAGTTATTGCTCCAGGCCTGTGAAAAAGCAATTGTCTAAATATTTCTTCCCAACATCTTAAAAGTAACTGCAGTTGACGTGATAATGAAATTTATCACCTATGCAAGATTTTATTTCACAAATGGCAAGTTCTATACCCTCTTGCAAACTATCACCTTTTAAAGAGACAAGCTATGAAATAACTTGTTTATATTATGATTAAATCATTTACATGTACAAGAAATGCCGTAGTACTAACCCTGTATTTGTATAGCCAAGAGTTTACACTACGAGGGACATTCAGTAGTTCTGTCACTGGGTTCATAAGTTTGTAACTGAAACGTTTAATATAAATGTTTTCTATTTCAAACCTTCAAGGTATCTCCTAGCGAAATGCATTTTTGTAATGTCTCTGTCCAGTTTCGAAATGCTGAAAAATAATCTTCTTTTGGACTCTGTCGAGGACACTGATAGATTGCGCTGCCAAGAGAACTCCTGGAGGTATCTTTTACCAGAAAGAATTTTCATAAGTCTGGGAAACAGACAGCAGTCAGGAAAAAAAAGCGGATCATCGGGATGGTTTACAACTTTAACATTTTCAGACGCCAATAAAGATTTAATAATCTCGCTTTTGAGAGAAGAAGCATTGTCATGTATAAGATGGACTCCTGACCATCCTTTGCTTCGACACTTCTTAATGTATAAAGCCAGAACTGTCAGTGACTGTGTGACCAGACGGACAAGGCACTTAAAACGACTGGTCCATTGAATTCAAGAAAATCGCATACAACACTTTATCACTGATGGCCGTTTTGGCAATACGGAGCTGTTTTTTTTATCCTTTCGCATCCACTGTATGTTATCAGCCCTTCTTTGAGGCTCAGACATATGTACCCTGTCAGCAAGTTAGAAATAATCCGACCATAACAGTCATGTATGTTTTCAGAAGAACTTGAGCACCCTTTAGCCACTGCTTCCTGCGCTTCTTAATGAGCAAATTGGATACACAACTAGGCGTAAACATTTCTCAGACCCACATGTTTGGTCAGAATTAACTGAATACTGCTTCCTGATCTTCTTAACTGAAAATCTTGCATCCTGTTCTACATCAGTAGTTGTTTGTCTTGGTGACCGAGGATGTACATATGCCTAACAGAAACCTTTGACTGAAGATTGTGCGCTGAAAAGACCTCTGTTTCATATATGCAATACAATTCATTATATACCGGGGTGCTTTGCAGCTATATTATGCCTAAAGCGACATTTAACGTAGCTTCGAATTTCAGTTTTGTTCCATTGTACAATACGGTCAGAAAATTGGTCTACAACATACTCAGGTGTACCATGCCATGGATTAGAACAGAACGATCAAAGGTCATACAGCCGCAATATGACGCAAATTATCAAAACATAATGCATGCATAACACAGTGCCAGGGTTCGTTAGCAAGACTAAATTTCTCTGTGACAATTAAGTGTAATATTCAGTTGACTTATACCGTGGATTAAGCAATGGCGTTGATAAGTAGTCGGCCACTAGTAAACGTGTGATATTAGTGATTTGTGAATGTTATTTTTCTGTTTGTTTGTTTGTTATAACCAGTTGCATATTATATGCCTTGGTTTAATAAAAACTGAAACTGGTATTAAAGTGACATTATGGTCACATTTTCATAGTCAAGTTGATCTGAATTAACAATTTATTACAATAAATTGACTGTTTTAACGGTGATTGACAAACGCTTGGTATTGAAAAATGTTTAGGATAAAATATAAATCAGCCCAAAATACTGTCTTTTATAAAATCCTTTCCTGTGTTTATACGGAGGTTATCATGGAACCTTCAATGTGACAGAGGTGCCATACCATGAAAAGCGGCGTATGGTCCCCAAGTAAAAGAATGGTTGTGCCCTAAACGAGAAAACAATGGGTGGAACTAAATAAAATGTAATTATGAAGCGGATCTGAGGTTATGAAGCCTGCATATCACAGATAAGACGTCAAAAGACAAATTTAAAAAGCAGACAACATATCCTTAGGGTGATTTTACAGTGTTAAAGTAGGAATGCTGGAACCACCCAGTTGAAAATGGCCAAAAAGAAGAAACTAAAAGTACCACATAACATGTGTACGAAACTTGATAAGAGCAGAGAATTATTGATTAAAATATGTGTTCGTATAGAGGAATCGAACAATTAACTTCGGGCATACGGATCTCTGTATGAAATATGAGCATTAGCAACAGCCATGAGATCATCATGATAGACTTTAATCTAGACATTCGCAAACTGATTAAGGTCAAGGTTATATTTGAATTACTTAACATGTCGATTTTGTTATAACAATTATTTTGTCTAAGTTTAAACTAAATCCATAATTAAATAACAATGTTATGGCCTATTGTAGCAAAAATCACTTATATGACGTTATTAGGCAGTTCATTTATATAAAAACAAAGTTATAACTAATTATAGAATATATCAAACAAAATTAGAAAAAAAAATAACCGTGAAGGTCAAGGTCATTTATCATTCAAGGTCACGGTCAATCGAGTCTAATTGGGGTTTGTCAAAGGATTTTGTGTTCGAAAAGATGGAGCAAGAATTATACCTTTAATAAGAATAGTGTTTGACTCGTGATATTTCACGGTCGGTGGCGAAAATTTTCCTGAATATAAATATATTAAAGTGACCTTTTGTTCATTTTTCATTGTCATGTTGAGCGAAATAAATTATCCAATTGAAAGGAATTATGAAGAGAAGAAGAAGAAATAGTTTATTTCGGTAACTTATACATTTACAGTATCTCGTTACATACGATTATTTTGGCAAAACTTTAACTTATCTTGATTTTCATCTGGTCGCTCTATATATACATTCTACCATTTGATGACATATAATGTCACTTTTATAAGACTCATGTCAATATTACCAGATCATGATAATATGATTAATATTTAGGTTTCTAGGTGTTTCGGGACCGAAAGCTTGCCGCCCGATAAATCTATAATTAAATTTTGTAATCTATCTATTAAAATTTAAGGTGGAATGCAAGCGTATCGAAACATCTAATTTTCAATTCTAAAAATACATTTTACATTATCTTAGTTCACTATTTTTAGTTTTCAAAGCTTCCCCTTATCTAAACCTATTACAAGTGTTCAAAATATAAAAGCATTCTTTTTCAAATAATGATAAACATTCTTGTTAAAAGAAGAGATTAAACTTAATAATTGCTTAAACGTTAAAACGGTTATAACTGCGACCTGAGCTTATACATTTTAAACTCTTTTAGAAAAAGTCAAGGCCGCGATGAAAAATGAATGAAAGATGCTTTTATGAGAGAAATTTTCATTTTCAGTCATCGTCAATGAAAAAGGAAGTAAACACATCATATATTTTTACTTCCACTTAAGTTATTACGTGTTCTTTTTCCACTGAAAATAAAATACTATACATATGTAAAATAATAAGGAAAGTTTTAATCATAGTCTGACTATAGATATGTTATATGTGGCAATTACTGTTAAGTTCATAATATAAAATTAAATTGTTCTAAATTATATTAATTCGTATAATAAGTCAGGATAGAAAACGCATTTGATTTTATTATAAACAGAATGAAATCAATCAAGTGCGATTAAACAAGATTTATTGAACATACTGTACTTAAACAAAATCAATCTGTGATATTGATAATTCATTTATACAAAGTTAAAGAGAAAAACATTTGCTGTTAAAAATTAAAATAATTGTGATGATAAATATGATATACATGTAGTAACACATTTACATGAAACAACATATAAAAAAATACAAAATTAAGCATGGAATGGATAGATTACAAAATGTATATATAAAACAGGTACATGTATTTGTAAAAAAATGTAAAACATTCTTAACTTTTTAACACAAATTTATTCAGAGTGATTTTGTTAATATCATTTTGATTTCCACATTAGATACATTGCTGCTAGCCCAAGACCTATCTTAACAGCACTCCATAAGCTTTCACCCATTGTTGGTTCCGGTACAGCGTCTGGTTTAAAAGGTCTTCGGGGCTTAGACTCGTGCCGAACAGACGGAGTATCATTTCTTGAGTACAATATATTCTCAACTTTACGAGCTTCATCATCATTTGTATAATGCCAATTAGTTGAAGATCTGGTTGGTTGCTGAACGCGGACCGAATGCCGATTGTTTACTAATTTTCCATAGCAGTACCCACCCGGTTGTCCTCTAACATTTACTTCTTTTCCACCACATTTTGTTGTAAGTCTGGCTGCATCAATTGTCTTACTTACATTAGCGGTAATGTAACGACATTTACCTAACTTCTCTAGTTGACGAAATACCCAAAGTCGGCGGTTGTCCCAAGAAAACCATTGGCCATTCACTAGTGCTACAGATATACGTTTTATATCTGACACAGACAACCTAAAATAAACCAGAGTTTCAAAATATATAGAATATAATTATATATATTCATGAAATCTTATAATATGTAGTAGTTGTATTTATGAAATCTTTTCATTATAATGATGATACATTTGAAAGACATTTTTAAGAATAAAGATTCTTTTCACTAATGTTAAGTTATTTTGGGCTGAAACGAAGCTAAGTAATTAGTATTTAAAGCGAAATAAATGTACATGTACATTTAATGTATGACATTTTAAAGTTAAACTAAACTGCATTGTTAAAAATCAACATGGACCTCCTTTTTGGATTATAAGAGTACAGATAGACTTATTTTAAGGCACGTGACGGCAGACATGGCGACTTGCCAGCTTCACTTACGAATATCAAGATACTAACCAGGAACGGTAGTAGGATTCGAACCCAACCCGATTAGCTGCAAGTAATTCTATCAGTTACCCTAACAGCCTTATGATGACCAAACGTATTTACCTGTCTTCATACAGATCGTCCAAGGTTTCACCAATTAGTTTACCTGTTGTCGAAAAACGGCAGCTTATACTATCTTGTGAAAAATAAATATCAGATGGCTTTAACTGTGTTATCATGTTTAATTTGCATGTATATATATATCTTTAAGTAAATTGTTATCCAACGTGTAATAATGTTAATTATTTCTTAAAACTCAAAGGTTTGGCGACATTTAATTATAACGTTCCATTGCTATTTCCATGAAGAATTATCCTTTTTTTAATCCTTAAGCCAAAATGTCTCCTACTTTTTTATCACAGTTGACATCTAATTAGAACATTTTATATACGCTGATACAATTTTCGAGAAACTAAAACGAAACCAACTGCGTTTTCCGAAAATTGCAAGTACTGTAGCTATTTATAAAATCGATGTTATACATCTCTCCTCTAATCATACAGGCAATGTGTGTTTGATAACCTTGGCATACAGCTTAATGTGTAACGATAGTGCATAAAGCTATGCATGTATGTCTATCGTCTAATTATTTTTCAGTTTTGGAAAAAGAATACTTCCAATAGAATAATTGTTAACAATATAATGTGTCGATGACCTGAGAGTATACTTCTAGTGTGTGTGTGCGTGTGTGTGTGTGTGCGTGCGTGCGTGCGTGCGTGTGTGCGCGTGTGCGTGTGTGCGTGCGTGCGTGCGTTTGAAAGCTTTTGCTTGGAGCAAAATATATTGCTGTTTATAATAAATTGAAACTGCTGTTTATTTAAACACAAATCATGCATATCAAATGAAAATGAATTTAAAAAATACCTATGTAATTGATAGTTCTTACTTAAAATAGTGACGGGGTCTGATTCAGAAAAGAACAATACACTTGTGATACTTATCTTTATAACCCATATTATTACATTTATTCCGAAGTAACATTATTGAATGACATAACACTTATTGTTTAAAAATTAATATAAACTAAATAAAACATCATTAGAAAGATGATTTAATTGTAAAATAACTTATAGATGAAGTGGAGACAACTTTAATCAGACAAGTTGTTTATTGCATTATGAAATCGACTTATTGTAGACTAATTGACAAAGTTTTTTATGAACTTCATTATAAACGAGGTATGTACAAAATATTTCTTGGACATGATAATCTTGGTTGATATGAATCGAAATGTTGTCTTATTTCTAAGTGTGTTTTACTTTTATTGAAAATCTTTATTACTATTTGCACTTTAATAACCATGGCAACTCGTATATAAAGAATTCATAGTGTTTGAAAGACTCTGTTGCTCTTTATAACTTTGAAAATGAAAATATAATGTTACGTACACCTCTTGTGAACTGCTATAAACAGATTACATAGAAGATGTGAAAAAATGTATGATTGCATCACTAGTAAAAATAAAATTGAAGGAAACAAGAAGGAAATCAAACTTCAGAGTTTCCGGTAATTAGAAGATATTTTTTAATGAATTTATAAGGAAAAAATATGGGACTTTTAAATATCGTCCGGATTTCAGAGGACTCCGGTTTTCAGAGGTTTTACTGAAGTTTAATTTGAATACAGCAAACCATTTCATGTCATGTCTTCATTTTGCAGACGAACCTATTAAGGTATTAGGACCCTAATGGGCACTATCAGGAACTAAAGAATTGACATCATAGGTCATATGTATACCTTAAAGTACACCTGTATGCAAAATTTACACAAAGTTTACCGTACGGAAATCAAGTTATGGCCACTTTTCTGAACTCAAGCTAGGATGTTATGAGGGCCCTTTTTTGAAATGAGGAACCTTTAAATAATCTGCAATAACATTCTAATGAAAAATGTTTTCCCATGAATTTTTGGTAAGAAACAAAAAGTACCATTCAGCTAACATTCCACATAAGCAAAATTATGGTTTCTTCTTAAAATTTATGAAATCTTTATAAAAATGTTACCCTACCCCACCCATTTTTACATCATGTCTGACCATTTTTCTACTTAGGGAGCCTAATTCAAAAAATTCTTAAAATTTACCCAAATGAGTGCCTGTTTTCAAAGTTTCCCTAAATTTTAAAAAAAGTATATTGGTTGATCTTGTAAAATATGAAATACTTTTACCGTCTAGTTTTGATTACATTACACTTTGAAAATATCAGGTTCCATATTTATTACTAGATTTAGCATATATAATTTAGCCAATAAATACTTATATAGATTAAAAATTCAAAATTAAACACAAAATTAAAGAAAAAAAAGTTGACCCTCCTGGGGATTGAACCCATGGCCCTCATTTTCAATGTAGCTAACAGTAATTCTAGCCTATTTGAATACTCTTCAAAGCGGAGGTAATGCATTAGGGTGCTAATATCTTAAGTTATAAGTTATTAAGAGAACGTGCCGTTAAAAAGCACACGAATTAGTTTAAGACAAATCACAAACAAATCGTTTTAGCAAGAGGCCGTTCTAATTACAATAAGCGTTTTCTTTCTCGGTTAGTGTTAAAAAAATAACTTTCACAAATGAAACAATTGAAAACGTTATGAATCATTTCAGCCCATTCAACAAACTGTCCTTTTAGCGCTTCCCAAGTGTCAACAAAACAATTGCCCCGATGCCAATAACCTTTGCAGCCGTCCAGAGAAACGAAGATGAACTCTGTGAATGCCATCGGCCACCAGGGTCACCTCTCACATCTACATTACGTCCTCCGCATTTAATGGTCATGTGATACTGGGGCATAGATACCATACTGTTTACTGGAATTCTTTTACATTTGCCAAGCCTTTCGAGGTGACGAAATACCCATAATCTTCTGTTATTCTGTGTGATCCACCGACCATTTACTTTGGTTACAGAAATTGGATCAATGTCTGATACATTGAGCCTGTAAAAAGTTAACCGAATAATATTGATGAATTGTCTGAAAATTAAACTATTTATGTCATGTATATATATATACAAGGTAAGAACCATATTCTTCTTTATTCAGTTGTAAAACACTGCCTGCCATTTTGATGTTCGTCTGAGAAATGACAGCGCTGATGTTGTATTGAGAAAAACATATTTCTGTTACTCTGTGATATAGTTGTGTAGTTGTAAAGTCGTTATAAACTTCAACCTCTTTATGAATTAAATAAATAAATTAAACAAGAGGGTCATTATAGCCCTGAGTCGCTCACCAGAAACATGTTGGAAATTATAATTCAAAATAACTTGCTGAAAGGCAAGTCCAGCCCTTTCAGCAAGTTCAGCTCAACTTTAACTTGCCCCTCTAGTAATGTACTTTCACAACACTGATTGTTTTAGCTTTATTTCTTCATAATAAACAACAGGGCCGCTAAGATGGCCCTTGATCACTCATCTAACCCACCTTTCTTTATTCACTCTATAAATTGAAATATTTTGCCCTAAAAGTTTGGAAAGGCGTTATTAAAAATATGCTATTGCAAGTGTGTTCCTATGAGACTATGTAGAATATATGCAAAATAAATTACCACTAGAGCAGGATTAATTTTGACTGGACAATTTTTTTATAACTTTTTTGAATGAAAGCACAAAATGTCACATGCAAAACATGTAAGGTGTAGATGTTTAAAGTTTACAGTTTGGGACAACAAATTATTTATACATTCTGTATGGTAACATAACTGTACCTCAAAAAAAGACAATAAGTCAAATATTGTAAAAAATATGAAAGGAAGGCCAGTTGAGATTAAATTCAATTCACCATCAGAAATTACACCCCTAGTCCAAATTTTAATTTTGTATGTCGAAATACACAAGAATGAAGGTCAAATTATATCAAAAATAGCAAAAGTAGTTCAGTTGATATCAAAATTCAGAATTTATAAACCTGGTCCAAATTTAAAATCTGAATGTCAAAATACAAAAAAGAAGGTCAAATGCTGTCAATAATACCTTAAGTAAGTCAGCTGGTATCAAATTGAATTCAACATCAAAACACAAATTACACCCCTGGTCCAAATTTCAAGTCTGTACCTAAAAGACAAAAAAAGTAGGTAAAATTATATAAAATATATCAAAAGTAGGCCAGTTCATATCAAAATTCAGGATAAGAAATTAAACCCCTTGTCCAAATTTCCAGCAGGTACATCAATCAAAGCACAGAAGGCGCTGAATTTGTTTGGGTCTCAGAATGTAAGAAAGGTGCAGGTTGTGAGATTATATGTTTAGTGCCACCAATGCTTTCCAGCGTTTTAATTGTAGTAAATTGGCTATAAGACTAATTGCAACACTGATATTCAATCCAATGTTTATTTGACTTTAACAATTTAAAAAAATGAGTTCAGGGTAAACCTGTTGTTTAAAATTGAAGTAAATATTACTGGGATTTGAACTCCAGACCTCTCGCTTCCTAAGCGAGCCCGAAAACCCTTCAGCCACGGTTAAATTTATATGTGAACGGCCTGAAGAAAACCTTATTATTCTAAATTAGGGCTTGTAACGACTTTTAACTGTTGTTTAACACAGATGTAAATAATCCTAAAGCTTACTATAAGCATGTATATTTATAAAGAATCAAAGGGCTTCAAGTTCTTTGTTTGCAATCTAAATCGTACTGTATATCTGTATGCATTTTCCTGTATAAGTTTATTTTTATGTATTATAATTCATTTTGTAAGGCACATACGGAATTCTGCATAACTAGAGTTGCATCAAAAATCATTTATGTACTTTTTTTACGACAGCCACACTTTATCCTTGTAAATCATGGCTACTTCCTTAACAAAAACAATTAAAAAAAGAATTTAACAAAAAAAAAATTTCCTCGACTGGGATTCGAACTCGAGACCTCTCACTCACTAAGCGAGCGCGTTACCACTGTACCACGGAGAAGTTATACACAGAATGTCTGAATAATATCAAGTCATTCTAAATTTAGAACTTCCATTGCATTCAGGAATCCTTATTAATTTCGAGGTTTTTTGTTCAGGGTAAACCTGTTGTTTAAAATTGAAGTAAATATTTTAGCGAAAATCCTCTCGCCCAAACAGTCCGACATGTAGAATCTATATATTCCACTACTCGGTTTGTGTAGTATTCGGTAATCTACATGGCTAAAAATAGTATTTTCATTGATAAAATCATATTCATCCGCGTAATTTGTGATTGTGCATTTATTGACAATTCTATAAGCCAACGCTATTGTTTAACTTTAAATGCGTTGTAATTTGTTGGATACTTGTAACCAAATAAAATATTTCTTTCTTTTTAATCGCTAGTTTTAAGCTGTTTTGAGAACTACTTGTTGTTAGGTTTGTCATAAACTTCTGTGTCAGAGATTGAATGTCCGCTTTGTATTTAGTTATTTTCGATCAGAAAATACCAGAAAACAATATTAGAAATCTTCGACCATTCGGGAATTACTTTGCTTGAAAATTGATGCGCCTGTCTTTGACCATCTTTACGCAGTGATCTCCCCTGAATTTTTCGGCTTTAGTGTACATACAAAAGGGAAGTAACCGCTTCAAAAAAGTGGACTACTTTCGGCATTTGCAATTAAGAACATTAGACTCTGAAATTTCGCTACCATTATTTGTTTGGTCTGACGACCCAAACAAATAAAAAACGACAAACTAGGTCAAACAATATCAAATAATTATATCAAAAGTAGTCAGTAGATATCTTAATTCAATTCGCATCAGAAAATACATTCCTGGTCCAAATTTCAAGTCTCTGTACATCAAAACAAGAAAGTACGTGCAATGGTTTCAAATATATCAAAAACAGCTCAAGTGGTGCCAAAATTCAAGTATGCACATGAAACTCAGGTTGAACAGTATGTCCCAAAATCTATTAAAATGTGCTTTCTCCAAGTTTAAATCCAATTCAACAAAAATTGAAAAAAAATACAATTTTTAACAATACAACATTCAATAAAATAATTGAGCATACAAAACCATCTTGGTTAAACACATGTGATGTTTCTTTAGCCTGATTTTTTTCCTGGTTAATGACCTACACCTGACCTTACAATTATGCAATATGATTTCATAAGTCTTGAGCTGAGAGATATTTACACATCATAAACATGTCATGACATTAAGACTTTCATGTATGTACATGTACACATTCCAACATGAGTTATTTCCCTTTCATTATGAAAAGATATCCTTTGATAGAAATTTATTGAAATTTATGAATTTCTTACTGAAAATGTTAAATTTGGATAAAAGAATGAATAAACTATGTATGGGAAGCTGCATATCCTATTATAGGCCAAGTAAAGCTGGTCTTTTCTATATATATATATAAAAAAAAACATTTTTTAATGACACTATCATTATATTTATACCGTGACCACCTATAGTGTGGAGAGTTTAAAACATAACAAAAATCTACTTTGTGTGAAGTCAAAACACGTTTATTTGATATTAATAAAGAGACTGTGTATCCATTGTCAATATTTTCTTATATTAAATTTGAGCATAGAATATCTTTTATTTGAAGAAATGCCTTGACCTTGCATGGCATTTAAGCTTAAGCTTAAACAGGGCCAATCAAATAAATATAAGCAAACTTGATAAAAGACTACCTAAGAATGCTTCAGACAAAGTTTGGTGATCATCCATCAAATATTTCAGTAGGAGATGATGTTCAAAGGTTTTTCTATATTTAGCTTTAGCGGTCCCTTAAAGGGGCCAATCAATTTAATATGAAAAAACGTGATAAAAGACTACTTAAGAATGCTACCGACAAAGTTTGGTGATCATACATCAATTAGTTCTATAGAAGAAGATGTCTAAAGGTATTTCTATTTTAGCTTTAGCGGCCCCTTAAAGGGGCCAATCAAATTAATATGAAAAAAAACCTAATAAAAGACTACCTAAGAATGCTACAGACAAAGTTTGGTGATTTCAGTAGGAAATGATGTACAAAGTTCTACCTACTTTTAGCTGCTTTGGAGGCCCCAAAAAGGGGCCAATCAAATTAATATGAGCAAACTTGATAAAAAGACTACACAAGAATGCTACAGACAAAGTTTGGTGATCATCCATCTTTCAGTTCTGTAGTAGAAGATGTTTAAAGGTTTTTCTATTGTTAGCTCTGTTGACTCCTAAGAGGGGCCAATTAAAGTGACATGGGCAAATTTAAGTGTGACTGTCACAAGGATGCTACAGACCAAATTTTAGGTAAATCTGCCCAGTAGTTCTGTAGATTATTGACGTATGACGACGGACTACGGACGCCGGAGTATCCCCCTTTGATACTAATAGCTCATTCTGAGCCTTCGGCTCTGGTGAGCTAATAAATGAATGAATGAATGAATGAATGAATGAATGAACAAATGAATGACTGAATTGCATTGTTGTGACTGGCCTTCTTTGTTAATATAGAATAAAAGAACTCCGATAGTGTTAGAATGCTAAACAATGAACTTAGTCATGTCATGTATACATACTAAGTTAAACTTTAAACTGAACACATTTTGTCCTCATCCTAATATTACAAGTTATAAAACTTACCTGCCCTCACATAATTCGTCAAGGGTCTCACCAATTAGATTTCCGTCGGACAAATGACAACTAATGCTGTCTTGTGAATACTATATTTCTGACGGATATAATTGCAAAGCCATTATAGAAACTTTAATCTTTAATAACACTGTTTCAAAGAATATAATTATAATCTGAGAATCTGTTTAGTCTCTCCTATTTAAACAATGTTATAACTTCATATATTGAAATGTTACAAAGTACAGCGATATCATTACACTATTATAGTATCCATACAATATATGATGACGTAGATATCATAGCCAATATACATGTAGCAGCCTCTTAAATACCAAATAGTGATTAGTTCAGAAGAAGAAGTTTAAGGATTTTTTATTTTTAGCTTTAGCAACTCAAAAAGAGACCAATCAAATTAATATGAGCAAATTTAATAAAAGACTACCTATAAAATGCTTCAAACAAAGTTTGGCGATCATCCAACAATTACTTTAGTAGAAGAAGACGTTTACGGGTTTTCCTATTTTTAGCTCTCTTGAACCCTTAAAGGTGCCAATTGAAATAATATACACACATAAAAGTGTGACTGTTACAAGGATAGTACCGATTAAAGTTGATGTAAATCTGCTCAGCAGTAAAATAGAAGAAAATGGATCTTGACGCATGACGACTGATGCCGGAGCATCCCCCTTTGATACTAATAGCTCACCCTGAATCTTCGTTTCTGAGAGTGAGCTAAAAATATTATAATTTTGGACGGTAACAGATAGGGGGCGGGCAACATCGAAAAGATGGAGCAAGAATCATACCTTAAATAAGAATATAGTGTTTGACTCAATGATATTTCACGGTCGGTGGCGAAAATCTTCCTGAATATAAATATATATTTAAGTATCCTTTTGTTCATTTTTCATTGTCATTTTTAGCTCACATGACTACATATTTCAAAAGATTGATTGTTATAATGGTGATTGACCATCAGCTGATATTTGAAAATGTTTAGTATTAAATATAGATCTGCTAAAATATAAAAAGGCTGCTAAACTATTTTAACAGGTTATTTTCGATGGAAACTTATAGAAGTTATTTTGGTCAACGTGACTTATTTATCGTTCAAGCGAAATAAATTATCCAATTGAAAGGACTTATGAAGAGAAGAAAAAGAAATAGTTTACTTCAGTAACCTATACATTTACAGTATCTTGTTACATACAATAATTATGGCAAAACTTTATTTTATCTAGATTTTCACCTGTTTGCTCTATATATACATTGTACCATTGGATGACATATTATGTCACTTTTATAAGACTCATGTCAATATTACCAGATCATGATAAAATGGTTAATATTTAGGTTTCTAGGTGTTTCGGCTTGTCGCGCGATAAATCTATCATTTAATTTTGTAATCTATCTATTAAATTTAAGGTGGAACGTTATCTTAGTTCACTTTTTTTTTAGTTTTCAAAGCTTCCCCTTATCTAAACTTATTACAAGTGTTCAAAACATAAAAGCACACTGTTTCACATAATGATAAACATTCTTGTTAAAAAAGAAAATAAACTAACTTATTGCTAAAATGTTAATAACGGTTATAACTGCGACCTGAGCTTCTACATTTTAAACCATTTTAGAAGAAGTCAAGGCCGCGATGAGAGATGAATGAAAGATAATTTTATGACACAAATTTTCATTTTCAGTCATCTTCAATGAAAAAGGAAGACACCCATTTAAAACCGTAGACACATCATATATTTCTACCACCACTTAAGTTATTAAGTGTTCTTTTTCCACTGAAAAGAAAATACTATACATATGTAAAAAAATAAGGAAAGTAAGTTTAAATCATAGTCTGACTATAGATAAGTTATACATGTGTGTGGCAATTACTGTTGAGTTCATGATTTAAAATTTATTTGTACAATAAATCAGGTTAGAAAACGCATTTGATTTTATTATAAAAAAAGAATGAAATCAATAAAGTGCGATAAAACAAGATAAGATTTATTGAACATACCGAAACAAAATCCATCTGTGATATTGATAATACATTTATACAAAGTCAAAGAGCAAAACATATGCTGTTAAAAATTGAAATAATTGTGATGATAAATATGATATACATGTAGTAACACATGTACATGAAACAACATAGAAAAAACTTACAAAATAAAACAAGGCATGAAAAGATTGTATATAGAACAGGTAAATGTACATGTCGTATTTGTAAACAATTGTAAAACATTCTTAACTTTTTAACAAAAATTTATTCAGAGTGATTTTGTTAAAATCATTTTGATTTCCAGAATAGATACATTGCTGCTAGCCCAAGACCTATCTTTACAGCACTCCATAAACTTTCACCCATTGTAGGTGTTTGTTCCGGTACAGCGTCTGGTTTAAAAGTTCTTCGTGGCTTAGACTCGTGCCGAACAGACGGAGTATCATTTCTTGAGTACAATATATCCTCAATTTTATCAGCTTCATCATCTTTTGTATTATGCCAATTAGTTGAAGACCTCCTGGTTGGTTGCTGAACGCGGACCGAATGCCGATTGTTTACTAATTTTCCATAGCAGTACCCACCCGGTTGTCCCCTAACATTTACTTCTTTTCCACCACATTTTGTTGTAAGTCTGGCGGCATCAATTGTCTTACTTACATTAACGGTAATGTAACGACATTTACCTAACTTCTCTAGTTGACGAAATACCCAAAGTCGGCGGTTGTCCCAAGAAAACCATTGGCCATTCACTAGTGCTACAGATATACGTTTTATATCTGACACAGACAACCTAAAATAAACCAGAGTTTCAAAATATATAGAATATAATTATATATATTCATGAAATCTTATAATATGTAGTATTTGTATTTATGAAATCTTTTCATTATAATGACGATACATTTGAAAGACATTTTTAAGAATAAAGATTCTTTTTACTTATGTTAAGTTATTTTGGGCTTAAACGAAGCTAATTAATTAGTATTTAATGCAAAATAAATGTAGATCTACATGTACATTTAATGTATGACATTTCAAAGTTAAACTAAACCGTATTGTTAAAAATCAACATGGACCTCCTTTTTGGATAATAAGAGTACAGATAGACTTATTTCAAGGTACGTGACGGCAGACATGGCGACTTGCCAGCTTTACATACTAACCAGGAACGGTAGTAGGATTCGAACCCAACCCGATTAGCTGCAAGTAATTCTATCAGTTACCCTAACAGCCTTATGATGACCAAACGTATTTACCTGTCTTCATACAGATCGTCCAAGGTTTCACCAATTAGTTTACCTGTTGTCGAAAAACGGCAGCTTATACTATCTTGTGAAAAATAAATTTCAGATGGCTTTAACTGTGTTATCATGTTTAAGGTGCACGTATATATATATATATCTTTAAGTAAATTGTTATCCAACGTGTAATAATTATAATTATTTCTTAAAAGTCAAAGGGTAGACGACCTTTAATTATAACGCTCCATTGCTATTTCCATGAAATAATGTCCTATGTTTAATCCTTAAGCCAAAATGTCTCCTTCTTTTTAGAAATCTCGCACTTGTATATCTTAATCACAATTGACATCTAACTAGAACATTTTATATACGCTGATACAATTTTCGAGAAACTAAAACGAAACCAACTGCGTTTTCCGAAAATTGCAAGTAGTAGCTGTTTACATGCAGAAGTTATAAAATCGATGTAATACATCTCTCCTCTGTCTCGCTGTCTGAATCATACAGGCAATGTGTGTTTGATAAACTTGGCATACAGCTTAATGTGCAACAATAGTGCATAAAGCTATGCATGTATGTCTGTCATCTAATTAATTTTCACTTTTGGAAAAGAATACTTCCAAAATACCTTTATGATAGAATAATTGTTATCAATATAATTTGTCGATGACTTGAGTTTACTTCTAGTGTGTGTGTGTGCGTGTGTGCGTGCGTGCACGTCCGTTTGAAAGCTTTTGCTACTGCTGTTAATAATAAATTGAAACCGCTGTTTATTGAAACACAAAACATGCATATCAAATGAAAATGAATTAAAAAATACCTATGTAATTGATAGTTCTTACTTAAAATAGTGACGGGATCTGATTCAGAAAAGAACAATACACTTGTGAGACATATCTTTCTAACCCATATTATTACATTTATTCCGAAATAACATTATTTAATGACATTACTCTTATTGTTTAAAAATTAATATATATTAAATAAAACATCACCAGGAAGATGATTTAATTGTAAAGATAACTTATAGATGAAGTGAATACAACTTTATTTAGAGGAATTTTCTATTGCATTATGAAATCGACTTCTTGTAGAGTAATTGACAATTTTTTTTATAAATTTCACTATATACGAGGTATGTTCAAAACTTTTCTTGGACTTCTGCTGTGTATAATGACAAACTTGGTTGATATGAATCGGAATGTTGTCTTTATTTCTAAAAGTGTCCTTTTAGCGCTTCCCGAGTGTCAACAAAACAATGGCCCCGATGCCAATAACCTTTGCAGCCGTCCAGAGGAACGAGGAGGAACTCTGTGAATGCCATCGACCACCAGGGTCACCTCCCACATCTACATTACGTGCTCCGCGTTTAGATGTCATGTAATACTAGGGCATTGAAACCATATTGTTTACTGGAATTCTTTTACATTTGCCGAATCTTTCTAGGTGACGAAATGCCCATAATCTTCTGTTACTCTGTGTGATCCACCGACCATTTACTTTGGTTACAGAAATCGGATCAATGTCTGATACATTGAGCCTGCAAAAAGTTAACCGAATAATGTGGATGAATTGTCTGAAAATTAAACTTTTTATGTCATGTATATATACAAGGTAAGAACCAATTTCCTCTTTATTCAGTTGTAAAACACTGCCTGCCAGTTTGATGTTCGTCTGAGAAATGACAGCGCTGATGCTGTATTGAGAATAACATATTTCTGTTATTCTGTGATATAGTTGTGTAGTTGTAAAGTCGTTATAAACTTCAATCTCTAAATGAATTAAATAAATAAATAAAATGAATGAATGAATGAATGAATGAATGAATGACTGAATGAATGAATGAATGAATTGCATTGTTGTGACTGGCCTTCTTTGTTAATACAGAATAAAAGAACTCCGATAGTGTTAGAATGCTAAATAACGAATTTAGTCATGTCATGTTAACATACGAAGTTAAAATTTAAATTGAACAAATTTTGTCTTCATCCTAATATGATAAGTAATAAAACTTACCTTCCCTCACATAATTCGTCAAGAGTCTCGCCAATTAGATTTCCGCCGGAGAAATGACAGCTAATGCTTTCTTGTGAATAAAATATTTCTGACGGATAAAGTTGTAAAGCCATTATAGAAACTTTAATCTTTAATAAAACTGTTTCAAAGAATATAATTATAATCTGAGAATCTGTTTAGTCTTTCCTATTTGCACAATGTTATAACTTCATATAAAGAAATGTAACAAAGTACAGCGATATCATTAAACTATCTAAAGAGGTTCAAAGTTTACCTGATTTAAACATATTTATGAGGAATATCAACTTCTATACCAACGTCAGTCTGGATTCAGGTCAAAACATTCATGTCAAACTGCACTGATAAGAATTATTGATGAATGGATTACAGTTATTGACAAAAAAGAAATACAGTAAACTCCGCTTATAACGAACTCATTGGGACATTCAAAATCTGTTCCTTATATCCGGAGTTCCTTGTAAGCATACAGTGAATTAGTTCCTTGTATCAGGAGTTTTTATAGCGAACAGATTTACATAATATTATAACGAACTGATTATTTACCATTGTCCGCCATTTTGAAGAGCATTAGATTGAGAAATATCGGTCATTTATTTCTATTTTAGACACAATACCCGAGAGCGTACTTTTTGGAATTTTAAAATCATTGCTATTTCAGTTTTAGTTTTACTCCTTATCTCAATTTCTCATAAAATATAATATTTTGTTTCTAAACTTTTTTCGTTTTCTTTTCCATGATTGAGAATAAACAAGATTTTCGATATGTCCAACCTTTTATATTGAATATCTTCTATTATAATTTAAGGGTGACTTTTACTAATGTAAGATATAGATTTCTTTTCATTTAAATCAAGCGTACTTTGCAGTTTTAAATGGATCATGCTTGCAAGCATGCGTGACAATGTTGAAAACCGATTATAAATTATTATAATTATTTTACTCGAGCAAAACTATTGAAGAAAAGAAATAAATAACCGTTTTATCTTGGTGAAAAGAGTTCATGCTAAAAATATCCTCAATAGAAAACTATACAAATTCATTTTAATAGATTTATTGAAGTACATACAACGATAAACGGTACATTCGGCCGAGTTTAAATCCGTGCCAATGAAAACGAAAGTTGAAAATGCGGGATCTATTTACAGATAGCCGATATTTTGGAGTTCGTTATAAAAGTGTAATTTTCTGTACTTTTAACTAAATTGGGGCTAAAAAATGAGTTCCTTATAAGCGATAATTCCTTATAACCGTGTTCGCTATAACCATATATTTTTATATTAAATAAAGAAGGGAAATATTCGGGCCAAAATAAATTGTTCCCTATAACCGGAAGTTCACTATAACCGTGTTCACTCCATTATTATTGTAAAGCTAAGAATGTACATGTTGTGTATAACCTTCCTCAGTTGCTTGGTTTTCTTCTTATTTAAAGGGCAGAACCTATCAAACTTACATATCCTTTTTTATTTAAAGTTACGTTCAGCAACTACTGATGTGCCTCATAGCTCAGTACTAGGTCATAGACACTGTGTTTTATCTATACAAGGTTAGCTTTAAAAAAAACTAGTAGCGACTCGCTTTGTCATTTCTGTTTCCTGCAGTGCGTTTTAATGTCAAATTGACAACTCCAACTCCAATAAACAACAATCTGGATAATGATGAAATGATGTAGGTAGAGCCCATCAAGGTGTCTCCACATATGAAGTTTAATCGTTATAGGTCAATAAGTATTGGAATAAGTGACAATAAACACACACGTCCTATACAAGCTTATATAAATTAAGTACACCCTTGGGTTGGGCGAATGTTGACTCATGGGTCATGATTAACATATGTTTTGTATAAGTTCACAAGGCAATGCAACATATCAAATATTTAAGGTCTAGGCATTGAAGTTAAAACATATTTTTCCTATGCAGGTTAATATAAATCTTCCCCCCTTAGGGCATGATACATTTTTACCCAAGGGACATGATTTTGATACATGTACATTTTTCAGCGGACCACATGCCAAATATTAAAGCTTTAGGCATTTTATTATGAGAAAATAAGGCTTAAATGTGTGTTTTTCTTATATAAGTCAATTTGTTTCCTTGACCTACATTAGCAACAAAGCGGAACCTTTTGAACCACTTTGAAGGGTACCACCAAAAGATCATTCCTGATAAGTTTGGTAAAGGAGATGTTGTTTAAAGAAAAATGAGAAACATTGCACAGACAATTGTATCAATAAATATCTTAAATCATTAAAACAAGTTTGAAATTGGTAAAAACTATGTACAATTTAGTTCTTTGTTCCTAAACTTGAACACAACTTGTAATAAATAATGTTACATTAGTGGACAAAGTAATTTAATGCCAGTTTATTTCAAATAAAAGTTCACCTAAAATAAGTAAATTCATACATACAAAAGCAAACAGTACATTATTTATTGGCGTTCGCGCCGAAGCGCGACCCCTTTATCGAATAAAATCTGATTTCTGAAAAGGCAAATGCATTGCATTGTCATTAAAATATCTTAAATTTATCTCCAACTTTTTTACCTGGAGAAACTACAGAACATGATCTCGCAAACCGATAAGAAAACATATAAACGTTTGCGTTCTTTAATCGTGCTTAGAACATAAAAATCTGATTCATTTTGTATACCTTTAAATAAAATCGTTTATTTGTAATGTAGAAGGGCAGGTTGGTATTCTTTCTTTGTATGGTCTGATTTTTGACACTCAGGTTATAATTTTGTAATTTCCCTTTTATAGTAGTACAAGAAAACATAATTTGTTACATTTTGAATTACAATTTACTGTCAACATATCAAGCACATTATTAGGTATAAACAAGTAGAGGAGATTTTAGGTATAAGAATTTAATAATTTTGTTTTTGATAATTATTCTTAATTTAAATTTATAAAAATAAATTTTTAAAATAAAATGTTGTAATATTGGTTGCTTTGAAAAGGTTACTAAGCCACGCTACCGCCCCCTCTTTCATTTTTTCATCTAAATTTATTAGGTATTCTTTAATAAAGATAAAAGTAAATCGCTTCTCTCTCTTCAATTATTATACATTAAAAGTTCTTTGAATAAAAATAAGTGCCTAGATCTACAACGAAAAGTAAGAATTAATTGTTAGTTATTATCAATAATATTATCCGTTATCTAATAAAATATATGATATTGGTTATTTTCCGGTTAGGTCAGAAGATATGTAATACCTCTACATAAAAAGGGAGTTTTATTTTAATGTTGAGAATTATCGTGGTATTACAATTTTAAGCTATATAGGTTAATTTTTCACCCGTATTATTAATAATAGATTAAAGTTTTGGACAGAAAATTACAATGTTTATATAGAAGCATAAGCAGGGTTTAGATCAAAGAGAGTACAGCAGATAATATATATGTATAAAATGGATTGTCTCACTTTTTCATCCAAGGAAAGCAACTTTGTAGATTTTAGTAATGCATTTGACTATATTGTTAGAGATAATGTGTGGTACAAATTGATACAACAAGGTTTACGAGGAAAGATTTTTGATATTGTAAAATCCATTTATGAGTCTGTAAAATAAAGAGTTGTTAAATGAGGAATACTCATATTTACTATGAGTAAGCCAAGGAGAATGTTTATCTCCTTTCTTATTTTCTATGTTCATAAATGACCTTGAAGATTTTTTATACATGGTAATATGACTGGCTTGGATGTAAACATGTTTAAAATATTTTTATTATTATATGCAGACGATATTGTTATATTCGCAAATTCACCTGAAGAACTCCAAAAAAGTATTGATTCATTGAACAATTATTAATTTTCCGTCTTTTATTAACAAACTTGCGGATGTTTAACAATGTATTTAACTATTGATATAAACCCATTTACCCCACAATAAATTATTTGTGTCTCGCAAGATAATCTATTTGAATTTAAGATTTTAGATGATTTCTTTCTCATTGTAAGTTGTGTTGCGCTTTATTTGAAATATACTAAAATTTACGATTGCAGAACAGTGGCCCTTGAAATAGAGACAACGTGTTTTACAAGGATTCTGTGTTAACCTGGTTCCACGACAACAAGTCTTGTTGGACTACAGACAGTTGTACAGTCAGTTACATGTGTATGTGTATACTCAACCCTTTCTATTTTACGAACATGACATTGTTTTGCATCAAAGTAAGATAAGGAATCTAAAATGGGTGTTTAAGGGAGACACAGGCAAAACCTTAATTTATTTGATTTGATTTTTTTTCAATATTTTATAAATATCCTCGAAATGAATTTTACTAAGCAGTCACAGGAACAAAACATTTCTGCTTATAAAGAATAAAATGGTGGTTTTCAACGTTGGTCAGGTTGGAGCATTTAGATTTCACAATAGCTGTTAAATAGAACTATGAAATCGTTAAGGTACCTGTCAAATGAACGACTAAGACTAATTTCAATTTAACAATATCTAGATAATCTGCTATTGTAATTTCCAGTTTTTTAGTTACATGACTTGTTTTAAAACTACTCGTGATATGTGGGCGTCTGAATTTCGTTCAACATATAGAGACATAATTACGCTTCAAGCCCAAATTATATAGTAATTTTACAGAATTTTATGTTAGGACTTTTAAAAATGTCATTTTAACATGATTTGCAATATTCACTTGCCCAAGTATCCCTTTTAGCTGATATATGTGAATGTTTTTATGTATTTGTATATATATGGAAGACTTGCGAAATAAAAAATAAAAGTAAAGTGTCTTTTTAGACTGATCTGCGAAGCAGCCGGATAAAAATTCTAAATATATTTACAATTCATTAACATATAACGCTAAACGGTCATTGTAATTTAATTATCTGTTACATTACCCGCCATATTTTTAAACCCGTCACTATCAGAGTCAAGCTTAATTTGTATTTTGTGCTTTATTATGATATTTCGCTAATTTATGTAGATTGTAAATGCCTTATACGTGTGTACGTTATTTAATTTGATCATATTTAACGTGAATATAATGTCTTTTTTCCCCGCTTCATTGCTTTTGGCAAAATTGGCAGGCGAGTCTAAGCGCACACGTGTCTATTGTGACTAATACTGCTCAAACAAAGCATTTTATATGTTGATATCTAGCCATCTAACAAACCATTGACGGTTCGAAAAATTATTATTTAAGACTATGAGAACCAATTTTTCAGTATTACTAAGTACTCTTAAGGTATCATTTTTTCTCATGAACTTATTCTAACAGCTTAGAATAATGTGAATTGTTAACATAAAGCTAACATTGTATTACACATTCTGGACAACAATTGAAGTTCATTTCGCCGTCACGTACATTGACAAAATTCTTTTAATAAATAACTACTTAACTTTTTCTTTCAAGTTGGCATACACTAAACCAGTCATCAGGAGAAGCTCAGATATATTTTGAAAACATGCGTCAAATCTACAGTTTTATGAGAAAAAAATATGCTTTAATTAAAGATTTTTTTGTGTCAGAATATTAACATTTTGAACGTATAAGATACATTGACATTAGCATTCTTTATACATGTAGCACATCCATAAACCGCTCCTACAAGGTAACTCTCGGTCATTTGAAACATTCCATGTAAGACCGCCGTTCCCGGCGGCGCCAATAATTATAATTAAACATTCATGTGTATTTATCATTTCATTTACACTGAAATTCTGAATATTTCAATCACTGATTCTAAAATTCGTATCAGTATAAAAGTATTCTATAGACGTATGGTATGCGTTTTTCATATCATTACAAAATATTTAAATCTCATTTTTTTTTCATGTGTAGTTATAAAATTATATAGTCAGTGTCTCTACGGCAGCTTAAACATAAGAAGACTTAATCCGGATTTCAGCAAATAGAACAAGCGGAACGCTGATTATGCCACCGGCCACCTGGTTCACCTCTCACTTCAACGGTTTGTCCTCCACTTTTGGATGTCATGTGGAAATATTTGGGCAGTGAAACCATATTGTTGACTGCAATTCTGCTGCATTTGCCGAATCTTTCTAGGTGACGAAATACCCATAATCTCCTGTTATTCCATGTGATCCACTGACCATTTACTTTCGTCACCGAGATTGGATCTATGTCAGATACTTTGAGCCTGTAAAAGGTTTTAAATTTATATTGAACACATTTTGTCTTCATCCTAATATTACAAGTTATAAAACTTACCTGCCTTCACATCATTCGTTGTATTGAGAAAAAACATATTTCTGTTATTCTCCGATATAGTTGTATAGTCATTATATAAACTTCAATCTCTTAATGAATTAAATTAAAAAAAATTGATAAATTAATAAATAAAGAATAAATAAATGAATGAATGAATGAATAAATAAAAAAAATGAATGAATGAATGAATGAATGAATGAATGTGTGAGTGAGTGAGTGAGTGAGTGAGTGCATTGTTGTGACTGGCCTTCTTAGTTTACAGAATAAAAGAACTCCATTAGTGTTAGAATGCTAAACAACGAACTTAGTCATGTCATGTTTACATACGAAGTTAAAATTTAAATTGAACAAATGTTGTCTTTATCCTAATATTACAAGTTATAAAACTTACCTGCCCTCACATAATTCGTCAAGTGTCTCGCCAATTAGATTTCCGTCAGAGAAATGACAGCTAATGCTGTCTTGTGAATAATATATTTCTGACGGATATAATTGTAAAGCCATTATAGAAACTTTAATCTTTAATAACACTGTTTAAAAGAATATAATTATAATCTGAGAATCTGTTTAATCTTTCCTATTTACACAACGTTATAACTTCATATATTGAAATGTAACAAGGAACAGCGATATCATTACACTATCTAGAGAGGTGCAAAGTTTACTTGATTTAAACATATTTATGAGGAATATCAACTTCTATACCAACGTCAGTCTGGATTCAGGTCAAACTGCACTGATTAGAAATATTGATGATTGGATTACAGCTATCTACGAAAATGAAATAGTTGATTCAATGTTCCTTGATCCCTTTAAAGCACTGAGCCCGAATTCTGTTTATGATTTTTGTGTCAATGAAACTATTTATGTCATGTATATATAAACAAAGGTAAAGATTTAAAGTCTCGTCGCCAGTTTGATGTTAGTCTGAGAAATGACAGCTGATAACATATTTCTGTTATTCTCTGATATAGTTGAATAGTTATTATATCAGCTTCAATAAATAAATAAATAAATAAATAAATAACAACACTTTTTTAAAGAATATATGAATTAATAATCCCTAAAAATGTTCTCCTCTTTACACTACAAAACATACTACATACAAGATAGGTTTGAGGTTTACGAGACTAAATATCCATAGGAGCTCGAAAACGAGACCGCAGAGTTGTGGCGCATATGTTCGATCCTGTACCGGCTATACATACTGTTTGTTCGACCGTTCAATATCTATTCATATTGTACGAGTTGGTGGTCTTAAAATATAAGATGTCAATTTTATATAATCTGCTAGTTAATAGCTCGCCAATTTTTTAAGCCAATCACCGACGAGGATTTTTCAAATTTTCTGGTTACAAATCTTAATAGAACAGATTTTATATAAACTGGACGTTTTATATTATAAAACGCAAGTGGGTGGAGCAATAAGCCGGTTAGAGTGCATATTGGATGTTCTTCGTAAATAAGAAAGCTACAGTCGCTTCGAAAGCTCCGCTCCTTTTTAGCATTCTTATTTACGAAGAACACCCAATATGCACTCTAACCTATGCTTAGAAATCCGTCAAATTACGGTATATTGAAAAAGAATCATGTCGTCAGATTTGGCCACTTTTAAAACTAACAGATTGCGTCGATTGCGTCGAATTCGATTTATATTTTTGAGGCCATTCGTTCGGATAATACGAAAAGATATTATGTCAGAGAAACTTAAATACAACCATTGCAGTAGTATAGAGTATGATGGTTCCGGGACACTTTGAAGCCTAAAAAAGTGTTTATCTATCAAACCAAAGGGTAAGACAGCTCGACATAGCTTACCCATCAACCCAAAAAGTAAGACAGCTCGACATAAAACCCCATTTTATTGATTTAAGAACACCCTCAGGCCAAAAACCCCCGGAACCATCATACTCTATACTACTCATAAATAGAATACTATAAGACAGGCGGGAACTTTCACTCAATCATTCTGATATAATTCATTGTTCATTGCATTTTCTACAAAAGCATTGGAGTGTTATTCCACGGATATTTGATGAATTGAAATGGTAATCCCGGGGG